ACTTACCCTAATACTATACTATAGCTAACCTACTAATCGTCCCTCGTATAATAGACGAACTTTAGGGTAAGGCTATAGACGCTATCCTTATCCGCGCTAACGCCCCGATAACCGTACGCTAGGTCGTAGACGCCGTTTAGTTAGCCTTCCCGAACCTCTACGCTACTAAGAGCGTAGAAGACACCGAAGAATTCCTTAACGCCGACAGTGCCGACGTCGATATAGATCCGGACTTAATCCGCTATTCGACTCTAATCCGCGAATAAGACGCTAACGGTATATACGTCTATAAGCTTAGCGCCTCTAGCCGTAAGGCTATACTATCGCGTAATATAGAGCCCGCCTTTAGTACTATATACGAATACGATATTACCGTATACCTAGTAGAGAGCTCTACTACTAGGGGCTCCTCTCGAGATAAGGTAGCACCTTCGTAGCAATACCCTACTAAGCAAAAGAAGGACAAAACGCAGCCGACTATACTAGGTAAGGTAAAGCAGCGCGGATAGGGCGAGCAGAACGGCTCTAACGAGTAGAATAGCTTAGACGGAGACGATAACGATAATAACCTGCCTAAGCCTCGTCGTAAGCGCCTTCCTTTAGTATTCCTAGATATTAGTAAGGAGGTACGCGATATAGTTACGGCTTTAGGCGCGCGTTAGTACGCGGCAAGCTACGCCTTTATAGCAGCTATAGCGGCAATTATTAACGCTATACGTAAGGACGACTTAGCTGTAGACCGCCTTATTTAGGTTAACAATACGGCACGCTAGACCTATACTGTCTTAAACCCGGTACGAGAACTTAGCTTTACGAGACGTACCTATAAGGAAGATACTACGTAATAGCGATACGAGGACTTTCTTATAGAGTATACCGATTCTCTAATAGGCTCTAACCTACGTAGCTCGCTCGTAGCAATGTTTTATCGAGTATAGACTATAAATAAGGGCAATATAGAGGAAGGCGCTTCCCTACCTTTCCTCGGATAGAACGCTACGCCGTAGCTATTACGCGAGGTAACCCCCGAGCTAGGCCTAAGAGACGCTAGCCTATCTTACCGATAAGAAGCGCCTATATAAGACGAGGTTCCGGAAGACGTACCGATAGATATCGACGAGGAAGAGGCCCCTACGCGAGTTATAAACATCGAAGTCCCGATCCTATTATTAGCTACAATAGCTACGCTAACGAGCGTACAAATCGCTACCCCGATAAGCGTACGTACGCCGATAGACAAGAAGGTTCGTCGGGGCGCTACTAATATAGATAAGGACACTTACCTATAGCGTTCCGGAATGTAATACCCCGACGTCGAGTAATAGCTTAAGTCTAGCTACTAGGCGGATACTACGGTACCGATCTATAATATACTAGGCTTCGTTACGATTAATTGTATGCCGCCTACGGATACGCGACTCTTAGACCTTAAGCTTAGTAATATGTTCTAGATAATCGACGACGCTACGATCTCGTTAAAGGAGCTTAGTATCTAGCATATCTGCTTAGTAGAGACGTACAGCTTCCCGCGTACTAAATATAAGCTAATCGGCCCTCTATACCTATACTATATAGCAAATACGGATAGTAGACACAAGATCGCTCTAATCTATAGCTAGTACATCCTTATAGGTAGCGCAGTTTTCTAGCGTAAGGCAGCGTACTAAGTCTAGGTTACCTCTATCGACAATGCCCTAGATTAGGCGATAATCTCTTAGGTCCTAATAGACATCCCTAGTAAGACGGAGCCGCTAATAGCTGTACGTAACTAGTAGAAGCATTAGAAGAAATACCGCGAGGATCTAGTATACCCGCTCTATAGTAAGTAGCTAAAGACTATCTCGGCCGGATAGCTAACCTTTAAGGACGACTAGGTTAAGTAGGCTATAGAAATTAACATCGTCGCGGTACTAGACTACGTCTTAGAGAATATAAAAGCAGCCTTTAACCGTAAGGCAGACGCTAGTATTATAGATACGGCCCTAGACTACTTCCTCCGAATAGCGTACCTATAGTTGTAAATAGGCTATATACTACGAGAGGATCGAGACTAGATACTAAGAACGGCCTATAAGAAGGACGCGACGCTACGCCTAAACGATATCTTATATAACTATAATAAGGAGGACGACGACCCTATCTCCCTCTATCGAGAACTAGGACTAAAAGGTATCGCTAGACGCTATAGAGCGCTTATACCCTAATAGTAAGCCGATCCGTACTTATATATTCTAGACGAGCTCGCTATAGTAGTAAAAGCTATAATCTACGTTAGTACCGTAGTAATAGACGAGCCCGGCTAGCCTTTATAGAAGACTCGCGCTATACTAGCGTAGGTACTAGCACCGCAGCTACCGACGCTAGGCCTATCTAGACGCAAGTCTAAGTACGTAGTAGCACCTAAGGACAAGCTTACCCTACCTATAAAGCTACCTACTCTATAGGTGCTACTAACAACTAAAACAAAGGCGCCTATATCCTAGCTGTCGCTACTAAAGATCCCTATATAGCTAACGGGCACGCGCTAAGCTAAGGCTGCCCTAGCTAAGACCGCGGGCACGCGTATATCTAAGCGTAAGGCGGCCGACGGCGACTCGTTTGTAAAGAAAAAGATACGCAAGTTGCAGAGCTTTACGAAGGGCAAGGCTACTAAGGCTAAGGCTACCGGCTCTAAGACGGAACTAGAATTAGTTAACTCCGATAAGTAAGACTAAGCTAGTAAGCTAGTAGACGCCGACATAATACGAGACTAAAGAAGGGAGGTAGAGATACCCTAATATATATAAAAAGGCATAAGCTATACAAGATATATTAGGCGAGGAGAACGGAATTCTAGGAGGAGTACGAGTACGGCTGTCTTAGTACGCTAGCTTTCGTTCTATCGGACGGGGGTACTATTATAGCAGGTACGGAACGCCGGGCCTATATATACTTCCGTAGGACCGTAGATACTCTTACTAATACTATACTATTGCCTAACTACTAATCGTCCCTCGCGTAATAACTAATTTCGATAATAAGCGCTTATTACTAGATAAAGTCGCTTCTAAAGCACTCGGCCTAGGACTAGTTAAAGAGGCTCTTATACTCTTTAAACCGCAAATAGGAGGGAAAGCAATAAAGCAGCTACTAATCTATTACCTTAAAATCTATATCTAACAATAGCGGAAGCCGTAGCAATAAAGGCAACTAAAGTAGAAGCACCGGCTAAGTACTCCTACTACGAGTAGTAGCGCGAGTGCTATAGCGAGTTAGGACGGGGTTGTTCTATCTATAGAGATTAAGTAAGAGAAGCTATAGAAGGAGAAGGTAATCGATACAAAAAAGCCGCCTAAGTTTATTAACCTAAGCGGCGAGGACACCGCGAGGCTACCGCGAGTTACGCCTATTCTAAAAGAGTCGAGCGAAGCTAAGAACTAGCAAGATAGCTAGCAAGATAGCTAGCAAGATAGCTAGCAAGATAGCTAGCAAGATAGCTAGCAAGATAGTTAGTAAGATAGTTAGTAAGATAGTTAGCAAGATAGTTAGTAAGATAGCTAGCAAGATAGTTAGAGCGGATAGAAGAGTTAGAAGCTAAAGCGTACTTAGAAGCTAGTTAATCTATTGTCTATAGAGATACGATCGAAGAAGAAAGGAAATAGAAATATAGACTCGTAGTAGACTCGTAGTAGACTCGCTATAGAACTCGCTATAGACTCGCTCCTTAAACATTATCTACTAGTAGCTCGCGATCGCTATTTAGCTATAGCTCCTTCTATATCGTATATATATCCTTAGACTTAATAATAGCCTTATTCTTAAGCTATTTGAACTACGAGAGGCAATATCCTTCTAACTTATCGAACTTAGCTTCTAATACCTTAATCTTTGTTTCTAATATAGCATTCTTTACCTCTAATATAGCATTCTTTGCCTCTATAGCCTCGACTCGCGCCTATATCGCGGCTAGCTCGCTATTTCTATCCTCTTCTTCAACCTTAATCTCGCTAGTAGTATAGCTACTCTTGCCCTAATACTTATAATAAGCGTAGACTCTCTCTCCTTCGATATCTAGTACGCGATACTTATAGCCGTTATTATAGCGAGTATAGAAGTAATATAGCGATAGTACTAGCTTTCCTTACTTAGTCTCTATAATAATACCCGTAGCCGAGTATTTACGTAGTCTGTTTAATACTACCTTCTTCTTTTATAGATTTGCGGTATCGTCGAGGAGGTCTTACTATATCTACTCGCTATAGTACTAGAAATCTTTCGTATTTATAGTCGTAGGACGTCGAAGGCTAGAGCGAGTTAGTAGCGAGTCTATAGCGATACGCCTCTTAGCTTATAATAAATATAGTCCTCCTACTAGTAATATAGGTACTAAATCGGGTACTAAAGCACCTATAGTAGCTATAAGAATAAGGTCGCGCGAAATACTAGTTATAGCTCGAAACGGTAGTAGTAGTAGTAACGCTGCTATCGCTATCGCTATCGCTATCGCAGTCGCTATCGTAGTCGCTATTAATAAGGGTATAGGAAGAACAATATAGCGAGTCTAGGCGCGAAGTTATAGCGAGTCTAAGTGAAGTTTGCGATATAGTAAGGAAGGCGCAATAATAGGAAGCGACAATGGACTAAAGTGAAGCTAAACCTCCATTGACAATCTAGTATGTATGGAGCTCCGTCCTGTGACGCCGAGCGGTCCGCAGATGACAACACCCGTGGTTAAGTTGCACTGCTTGTGCATCTTGACTGCATTGTCTTCTTGCATTGCATTGTATGGCGCTCGTCGCATGTGACATGACTTTCAATTGTTCTTGACTTGATATATTGATGCGGCAGATCGGAATGTTGACAGGACCATCGCTTGCTTACAAGGTCACAGACTCACGGTGCCGTGCCGAGCAGCAGATGACCTCGCCAGCGTGCACGAGGCCCGAGCAGACTAAGATAGAATAGCATTGGGCTGTTCGCAGGTGCGGCTGCATCAGTGCGACGCCTACCTTCTCACCACCATGGCAGAACTTCACGACGCTCTCCGGTACCTGGGTCCAGTGGATTGGAGCGATGTGCCCAAAGACCAAGAAGCCCTCGAGCAATATCTGACCGACTGCTTCGCTGCCGGCGAGCTGATCTGTAACTCGGTCCCTCCGTTGGCTGATGGAACGCCATTCAATGCCTCGAAGCCTCACCACGATACGCCCAACTCAGCGTCATCGCACAGAGACATACACCCGTCCGCTGCACGATCGCCCCCGCCACACCCCGACCATGAAGCCCTCCAGAAGCATTGGGGGAAGCCCATGAAGTTCAATCAGAAACAGAATCCGCTCAAGATCTCGCTGTACAAAATGGCTGGGCACGATAGACATGGCGCTTGGTTTGCGCGCAGATGTGTGACCGAGGGTCTAGGCTTTGCGAAGTTCAAAGCGGCCATGATGCGCGAGCTCGCGGAAACGATGACAGTTTCGGGTGGGCCAGGGGCAGGAGCAATACGTGGACTTGGAGCAGACCGTCGCCTTGAGAGAGTTGAGGTACCTGGGATAGGCAAGCTCGAGGTGTTTCAGCTCAGTGCTCAATTCCCGGGGCCTGTCACTCCCAGAGATTTCGTGACTCTACTGCTCAGCGGAGACCAGGTTCTCTCGGAGAAGAGCGCAGCAGCTGTGGACGGGACCAAAGGGCACGTGCCAAGGCACTTCATGGCAGTTTCGAAGCCAGTCGAACATCCAGACGCTCCCATTCGCGCGGGCTTTGTTCGAGGTCACTACGAATCAGTAGAGTTGATTCGTGAGGTGCCTTTGACCACAGCCAAGGCCAAGTCTACATCGGATTTGCTCATAAAAGCAGAGACTCAGCCCAAAGGTCGGGACCGAGGTCACACTGTTGGACTAACCGCCTCGGAGAGTACGGATGCGATTGTGGAACCACGGAATGCGTCAGGTGGAAATGCTTCGTCTTCTTCTGGTGATCCTGAACTCAATCCTGTGGAATGGGTGATGATCACTAGGTCTGATCCTGGAGGCGGCATTCCGCGCTTCTTAGTCGAGCGAGGTACTCCAGAGACCATGCTGGAAGATGTCCACAAATTTTTCAATTGGGCCTGTGCTCAAGATCACATTCCTCATCCAGACGAAGATTTAGACAAGCAAGGCGAAGTGTCAGTTGGACAGGCAGAAGCAGATGGTGCGCCTCTGGCACCTTTCGAAGAGACTAATGGCAATGCGATGGAGCAGACAAAATCAAGGATGGCGACTGCTGGCTCTGCCAACGAACGTCCAGACACCGCGACGAATGAAGCTGCAACTGAACCAACGACGACCAATCCGCAAGCTACTCAAGGCGGAATCTTCACCAACCTTACAAGTGCGATTGGGGCAGGTTTCGATGCGTATGCACCGGCAGCAGTCTCGAACATGGTTCATGCACAGCTCCGCGTATCTGAACAGCTATCCGATGACTCTTCTGACACATCTTCTGTGGACTCATTTCTGTCTGCGGAGGAGATAGGTCGAGTGACAACAGCGCCAGAGACTCGTTCAGAGGACTCAGTTGAGACTTTGAGCATTGCAAGCGGCGATCATTCGGAGACTTCTGGCAGACCTCTCTCACGTCATGAGAAGGAGGTGAAGAAGCTGACAGAGAAGCGTGAAAAGTTGGAGCAACAATTGGCTAAGAAGCGCATGGCAGAGGAACAAAAGACAAGGCAGGCGCACGTGAAAGAGCAAAGTGAAGCCGACAAGTCCAAGGAGAAGCTAGAGAAGGATTTGAAGAAGACGGAAGAAAGACATCGGAAGGAAATGGAGAAGCTCGAAGCAAAGAAGGCGAAAGAGATGCGCAAAGCCGAAGAGAAGCGGCGGAAGAAGGATGAGCAGAGCAAGCTGTCTCTGGTTTCGCGAGAGCGTGACGAATTTCGGAGCCAAGGAGACTTGCTCAGGAGAGAGAATGGCATTCTTCGAGAGCAAGTTGCGGAGCTGCAAGCGCAGAACACCAGAATGTCTATGGAACTCGGGAAACTCGGTGGTCAGGAGACTCTCAGGAGTATTTCAGATGAGTACGGCCACAGGCGAACTGGAAGCCTGAAAAGTACAACTTCGGGCCGCTCGGAGTCGGTGCCGAAGGGCATGGACAAGAGAGTGGACACTGGCGTTCGGTCGCGGTAGATGTGGGCATGATGCTTCCATGCGAGCGTCGACTGCAGTAATGTTCTTATGATCAATAGACGACAGTGAGTTGGGAAACAGCCACACCAAACACCGTGAATTCTTCCGCCGTGAAGCTTCTCAAGCATTTCACATTAGCCGACGGCCGTCGCTTTAGCCTTGAGAATTTTGCCAGGGTCGCGACTGAGCTGACGCCAGCTTAACGCACATAACACAACATTCAACAGACTGGCTCTTCAAAGTTCGTACACCATGGCTGACGGTGGCGCCTTGTACATGGTGTGTAGAGCACTCCGTTGATTCACGAACCAGAGCTGACATATCATAGGGCTTTGATCTCTCAACGCAACAATTGAAAGGTACTGGCTGGCACGAGCCAACGTGCTCCGAGTCCTGCTGACTGGAACCAGGCATTGTCGTTGACTCCAAACTCAGACTAACACATGAAGCCAAGGTCGACTTCGATGCGGATCTAAGCAAATATGGAATCCAAAAGGGTGTCCTTACGAATCCGGCAGAAGGCGAAGTCTTCGCTCCACCCGCAATGTGGCTCGAGGCCTTGGACCTTGTTCTGGAGCGACTCAACGCAGCAAAGCTCGACTTCAGTAAGATCAAAGGTGTCTCCGGTGCCGGCATGCAACATGGCACAGTCTTCTGGTCGAAAGATGCAGAAAAGCTGTTGGGCAGGCTAGACTCGAACAAATCTCTGGTCTCGCAGCTTGGTGCTGAGCATGGAAACGGAGGCGCTTTCGCTCATGAAATGAGCCCAAACTGGCAGGATGCTAGTACGCAAAAGCAATGCGATGCATTCGACTCCGAACTTGGCGATCCCGACAAACTCGCCTTCACGACGGGCAGCAAAGCTCATCACCGTTTCAGCGGACCACAGATTCTGCGATATCGATTGAAGCATCCTCAACACTACGAACAGACCGCGCGAATTTCTCTCGTCTCCTCGTTCCTTGCGTCGACACTCCTTGGGAAGGTGAGAGCATCACCTGATGGAAGCGCGATCTGACACGCTGACGCTGAAGCCTAGATTGCTCCCATGGATATCAGCGACGTCACTGGGATGAACCTCTGGGATATCAACGCAGGGACGTGGCATGAAAAATTGCTGGCGCTCGCTGCAGGTGGTATCGACAACGTATCGGAGCTGAGGCGGAAGCTCGGAGAAGTTCCAGAAAGCGGTGGCGACAGTTTGGGATCGATTAGCAAGTACTATGTTTCGCGGTGAGTTTCGTCAAAAGTCGGCGGCCTTGCAGGTCGGTGCTGACTTCTGTGCAACCAGCTACGGCTTCCCTACAGATTGCCAAGTCATCCCTCACACCGGCGATAATCCAGCAACTATCTTGGCATTGCCATTAAGGGCCTCCGACGCAATAGTTTCGCTGGGGACAAGCACGACGTTTCTGATGTCTACGCCCGAATATAAACCGGATCCAGCATACCATTTCATGAACCATCCGACCACCCCAGGCTTATACATGTTCATGCTATGCTACAAGAACGGCGGACTAGCTCGCGAGAAGATTCGCGACCAAATCGACGAGTCCACCAGCTGGGATAAATTCAACTCGATCGCGCTTTCAACTCCGCCGCTGTCTCAACAGGGAGATGGAGACATGAGAATTGGCCTATATTTCCCCCGGCCCGAAATCGTCCCTAACCTTCCTGCCGGTCAATGGCGGTACCTGTACAATCCAGAGACGGAGGAGTTGAAAGAGGTCTCGTCTGACATTTGCCCAGATGACGCTCGCAATATTATCGAATCGCAAATGCTGTCCTGTCGACTTCGATCACAAAAACTCGTCAAAGCCGAGAAAGATCCGAAGACGGGCGAGACCTTACCTCCTCAGCCACGTCGCGTGTACCTGGTCGGAGGAGGCTCTGCCAATGAAGCTATAGCCAAGATCTGTGGTGAAGTGCTGGGTTCTGTCGAAGGTGTCTACACGCTCGACATCGGAGGCAATGCATGCGCTCTCGGCGCAGCGTACAAAGCAGTCTGGGGTTGCGAGCGGAAGAAAGGACAGACATTCGAAGACCTGATCGGAAGTCGATGGGATGAGGCGAGCTTTGTCAAGCGAGTCGCAGACGGATATAAGAAAGGCGTGTTCGAAAAATATGGCGAAGCCGTCAAGGGTCTTGACTTGATGGAGAAGCAGGCATTGAAGAGCTCCAAAAAGTCAGCTTGAGAGCCTTATGCATTCTTGATCGCAATAAGTATGGGTCAAATAATCAAACTCCAACGAATTGACAACATCAATGACAGTCTTTGCGAGAAGAGCTCCCCTGCTCAACACACGCCTGGTTCCCCTCGACCACCCCTTGTTTCCATCCCTTCTTCCAACTTCGCAGTGCGACATTCGTGTTCAACCACGCATCAGCTTTTTTACCACCTTCAAAGACACCGTAGAATCAGCTACAGTTGGCTTTCCTGTGTGCTAGGCGAGGCATGCCAACCTGAATTTTGACGGCAATGCTGCCATGTTTAAGGAGCGACGGCCTGATGTGACAGCCTTTCAGTCTGTTCCATTCTTAGACGTTTCCATTTGTAATCTCGATTGTGTTGGTGAATTCCGTTCATCCGGAAATCAAGGAGATTCACGTTGGAACCCATAGCTTCCTAGAGCCACGGGTACTATTTGGGGCTCCTCGCGAGATCGGTCGCGTGAAGCTATTTGGGTCGATTTGGCTAGCTGGGGTGGCAGTCTCGGTGGAGGCCACGGGTCCGTTGTTGAAGCCTCCGCGACCTTGGAACGGACCTCCGCCACGACCCCGTTGAGCGCCGCGGTAGTTCCCACGACCTCGAAAATTGCCTCGAGGCGCAAATGGCAAGGCGTGATGGCCTCGAGGTGAACTACGGTAACTTACGTGGCCCTCACGAGGCGATTTAGGTGGCAGATCTGTCTGGGCTGTCTTGTTGGTCTGCTGCGCCTGACCGCCGCGGCTGAAATCGTTCGGGTCGAGGACTTTCGATTGATGCTTCTGGAGCATGGCAGCAGGGGCCTTTGGTGGTTTGAAGAGTGGTTCCTTCTCCTCATCAAGCGCGACGTCAGTCGGCTTGCCCTGTGCTGGGGCTTCACATGATTGTGCTTCGAGGTTCTGGCCCTCCTTGTTCTGCAAAGCCAGCCTATTCTTGTAGTCACGATCCTCTCGACCGATCGCTTCACGAAGCTGCTCTAGCCTTTTTGTCTTGATGTCGAATCCTTTCGCAAAACTGACTTTCCTCGGATCATTGCATAGAAAGATGAAAGACTCGAGAGCAGCGACCGGGTCTACTTCTTGGTGGACTCGCCAGAGAATGTAATTGAATAGTGGCTGGAGAGGTTGCGGAACGCTAGCGCTCGATGAGGTAGGTCTGGTGCCAGCGAGAGATAGCGAGGCCATCTCATTGACAGGCGACATGCTTGCCTTCTGTGGGCTCGTGGGCGGGGATACGGGACTGGCGCTGGAATGCATGCTTCGTAGCGAAGACGGTGAAAGCGAAGGGGTGAGGTCCGAAGCAACGGAGCTCACAGATTCTTTGACGGGTTGTTCGCACTTGTCTGCGGGTCCGGCGGGATCCTCATAGGATGCATTGGATTCGACCAAGTCAAGCTCGTGCTCGTGATTGTTCTCAGAAAACAGCGTCCGTGGCACGACGAATCTTTCGACTTCAGCCCATCGCTCATAAGTCTCATCGGCGCCCTGTAAAGTCACGACATCGGGGAAGTTGGTAGTGGCTTCGTCAAGCCATTGGAGGGTCTCACGGACATCCTCAGAGTGTTTGTGCTTGCCATTCTTTTGGCGGCTCAACTCTTCAAGTGCTGTACCATGTTAGCGCCGCGATCAGATTGAGGCTGCGGCTGACGGTGACACACCATGAAGAGGCACAAACAGGCGGATTTGGCCATGCTTGACCCACTGCCGGATGCCATTTCTTGTACTTCTCTTAACTCCGGCCACTAGCGCCGAGTCATCGACAATGCAGTTGAACACCCTGCGAGCCGGCCGGAAGGCTGCTGGTCGGGATGCGCTCTGCGTCTGCGCGCCGTGCAAGGAGGCAGGTCGCGCGCGAGGGCGTGGGCGCATCTTGGCTTTGGCGACTGTAGTGGTGGTGATCGTAGTAGGAATAGCCGCGGACGGAGGTTGCTGCAACACTTTAGATCAGACGGGTACGCCTGACGGGTGACGATGTGCTCAGAGCGATGGTATACGTGAGTGCGGGAGTGAGGACATTGGCGTGAGACCAATGAGCTGTGAGGAGAATATGCTGGAAGAGTGAAGAGCGAGTGAGAGGCAGCCGCACCGTGTCCGTGTCTGCCATTGCTTTCATGTGTTGAGGCAGGTGAAGATGCGATTGATATGGACTGCTAGGCGCATCGCTCGGCTTGCTCAGCAAGGTCAGGCAGCGCTTCTGCCGCCGGAGCAGAAGCTGATCATGCTGTTCGGAGAGGCAGTGTGTCGTTGTCAGCGCACTCAAGCACGGCTGTGTCCAGCATGTTCGCGGTTCGAGCTCGCCGAAGCGGATTATCGATGCGACAGTCGGCGTGGAGTGGAGAGAGGTCGGAAGTCACGCCAAGCAAGGCCAAACCAGGATTGTCCAACCGACGACAACTTTATTTTTATTCCTCGCCAAGTCGAAGCAAATGGCCATCCCATCATCATGTCCAGCGCCGCTCCCTGACTCTTACGACAATTCGTGATGCTTTGGCACAGACATGCACTCCATACTGATTTCTGGCGCTGCAAGTGGCCTCGGAGCAGCGTTCGTTGCTGCCTACGCGCAGCAGCGAGACGTGAACATCATCGCCATCGATCGACGGCAATTCGAGCCGGCCAAGGCTAACATTCGCACCTATGTCGTCGATATAGCCAGCCAGGATTCGATCAATCAATTTGCCAAAGCCATCGAAAATGAATCAATCTCTGTCCTGATTCACAGTGCTGGAATACGCGGCCTTGTCCCTGCCGTTGAAGATGAGCATCCGGACGATGTTCACGCTTGCGAGACTTTGCAGGTCATGGACTTCGAGACGATGACCAGGGCATTCACAGTCAACACCACAGGCACCTTCATGCTTCTCAGAGCACTCGTGCCGCATTTACGTCGTGCGCACGGCAAAGTTATCGTCATGAGTAGCCGAATGGGCAGCATTGGCAACAACCAACATCCGAACAAAGACGCTGGCTCAGCATACGCGTACCGCGCTTCTAAAGCAGCTTTAAATATGGTCGTCCGCTCGTTCGCTGCTGACGAGCCCGAGGTCGTCTTTGTCCTGTGCCATCCGTGAGTCACCATTGCTTCGCACTATACATCTCCGAAGCCCATCTAACAAGAAACAGTGGCCGTGTGGAGACCAGTCTGGTGAGATGCGTGGAGCGTGGTGCGATCACTGCCGAGGAAAGCATTGCTGCTATCCTGCCATTAGTAGAGAAGTGGACACACCTGGACAGCGGCAGGTTCTATGATCGATTCGGCCAAGCCATTGAATGGTAGACCATCCTAGGGTATATAAATATTGCAGACGATAGCCGAATGGTTCGCGCAGACTCTGAATAAGCAAAACACAATTCTAGAGCAGCTGAACTCGCAGCACTGCTTCGACCGACGACAGTATCTATCCTTGTATGCCAAGTCTATTGGCTGCGTGCAAAGACTGGGCCACGGGCACTTCAAACAGTCGACGACCGCAGTATGCTGCTGGAGGAAGTGCTTGGAGGGCAGAGAACTAGGGCTGAATCGCAGAAGAGTGCAAGTTTCCATCTTTGCACAAGTCATTGCATTTGACCTGATCTTGCGCATCATCGAAGCGGCGACCTGTCGACGGCTCGTGTTCATCTGTATATGCCAAAGCTGTATGCAGCGATTAAAGGCGTCCATGTTGAATTATTGTTAGCGAAGACGAGGCGAGGCGAGATCGTGGGCAGTCACGCTAGGTTCTAGCTTGTGGGGTGTCATGTGCATGGCGCTAAAAAGTAGGGGAGACGTTTCGAATCGAACTACCACCTGCATTTGATCGTAAGATACAACAATTGCGGTCGCGCTACGAATAAGAACACCACCTGAGAGAATTCGGCTGTCAAACTCTTCCACGTGACCTAAGTACGTTCGCGCTCTGCAAACCACTCCCTCCAAGTCTCCGACTCGTTCGCTTCGACGACCATGGCATCCACGCTGCAGGTGCCCGTTCGAGGAAAGGCAGGCAATGCTCCTGTCACCAAGGCAGTAATTCTGGTACGAGCTTGAAGGGAATTGCAACTCGACATTCTAGCAAGAGTTGAAGAGGCGACGGCTAAGACATCGGCAGGTTGGTGGGCCTTCACGAGGTACCAGATTCAGACCGCTCTCGCTGGACTTGCCCAAGGTACGGATATCAGCGACAGGCATACACCTTTTCCTTCTGCTCACCCACTCACGATCGCGAGTAGCCTCTCTTCGAAGTCGCCGGCCACCCGATCATCTCGCATTGCTTTGCAGCCATTACTCGAGTGCCTGAAATCCGCGAGGTCTTCATCGTCGGATACTATGACGACTCGGTTTTCCGCGACTTCATAAAAGACAGTTCGCGCACACATCCACAGATCAAGATCCAGTACTTGCGCGAATACCAGGCACTGGGCACTGCGGGCGGTCTCTACCACTTCCGCGATGCAATTCTTAAGGGCAGACCAGATCGCTTTTTCGTCCTCAATGCCGACATTTGCTGCTCGTTCCCACTGGAACAAATGTTGAGGCTGTTTGAAGAGAAGGACGCCGAGGCCGTGATTCTGGGAACACGAGTGCCCAATGACGCAGCAGCCAACTTCGGATGCATAGTCAGCGATGCACACAGCAAGAGAGTGCTGCACTATGTCGAGAAGCCGGAGTCACACATCAGCAACTTGATCAACTGTGGTGTGTATCTCTTCTCCACAGAAGCAATCTTCCCTAGCATCAAGACTGCCATCAAGCGCCGGACAGACCGACCGCGCCTGGTATCATATCCTTCTTCGGACGCACTGGATGCTCAGTACATTCCAAACCCAGCCGATGATGATGACAAAGAGAACCAGGTCATTCGGCTCGAGCAGGACATTCTTTCAGATCTTGCCGACAGCAGACAATTCTACGTTTTGGAGACCAAGGACTTCTGGCGTCAGATCAAGACTGCTGGCTCTGCTGTACCAGCCAACGCCTTGTATCTGATGAAAGCATTTCAGCAACAATCAGAGGAGCTCGCCAAGCCCTCGGCGAACATCCTTCCGCCTGTCTTCATCCACCCAACGGCACAGGTAGACCCAACCGCGAAACTCGGTCCAAACGTATCCATTGGCGCCAATGCTGTCGTTGGCGCCGGAGCCAGAATCAAGGAGGCCATCGTTCTGGAAGGTGCCGAGATCCGGCACGATGCTTGCGTTCTGTATGCCATCATTGGCTGGAGTAGTAGAGTGGGTGCGTGGGCGCGTGTCGAAGGCACTCCAACACCTGTGCGAGAGCACAGTACATCAATCGTCAAGAACGGAGTCAAGGTGCAAAGCATTACTATCCTTGGAAAGGAATGTGCCGTTGGTGACGAGGTCCGCGTGCAGAACTGTGTGTGCTTGCCATACAAGGAGCTCAAGCGCGATGTTGCCAACGAGGTCATCATGTGAGCGTTCAGCGTAAGATTGGGAAGGGTAATGTCATGGAACAAAAGCAGAGTGCAAGCTTAGAGCGACCAAGAACGCCACATAGACTTCAGATGCATATTGGGATAGAGAGCGAGAAAATACCTTGCGTGTCAAGGCCGCAACGGCGAGCAAAATGCACTTCCGTAACGATGATCCTACTGAACGCTTGGCAAATGGGTATCTTTGCTGCATACAAATATCACGCGCGGCCATGGAAGACCCCGTTCAACACTCTTTAAAACCCTCTCCGCGCCCATCCCAGCCGAGTAAACGATTCGCAAAATCATTCACAAATCCAGCATCTTCTACATCATGACCATCTCGCTCCAATTCATTCGCATCTTCGCGCACGGCGCCTGAATGATACGCCCGGGCTGCCGAGAAAGGACACCCTGGAGTAACATTTGCTACCGGAGGCTTGCCTTGCACAAGCTGAGCGTAGCCTAGACCATGCTCCGGAGAGCCAGAGATACCTTCTCTGACCATCCTTTCCACCGAATGGCTGCTCTCCGATTCATCCAGTGACGACCCATTTAGTGCGTGCAACATTCCGCATCTGGACACATTGCCACCAACACATGGTGATGACGCTTTGCCTCGAGACTCGCCCATGACCAATCCTAGGATCAGGCGCGCATCGATGTTAGATTCTGTCGACACTTTGAGAATGGCTTGTTGTATGTGGTGTTGAAGATATGTGTTGCCGCCGTTGCTTGTTAGGATTCGTTCGCGGTTGATATTCCACAGCTCTGAAAAGGACAGCCAGAGCTTAGGTGGTGGATAGCTTTCAATGTTCTCTTTGAAGCATCGGTAGGTATACACAGGCTCTGGGCCTCGCCTGCTGTCCGCGAGGACATCTTGATGCGCGTGATCTTGGGGTTTATCATTGAGTGCCAGGGCACCCGAGCTGGCTACTAGGAGGAAGACCTCGATTGGCAGCATTGTTGACGTTCTTGATGCCGACTAGTGTGCACTCGGGTATTGTTGTTGGTGATCTCCAGCAAAGGCGGTGTTCTTCAAAAAGCCGGAGTCACAGGGTCGGGGCCAATGTCGGGTCCTTGTATATATCACATCAGTCGTATGAATGGTGCAATTGGGCATGCCGGGCTCGTCATTCGCCGTGCATGCGGTCAGCTGTCCAAGAGCAAGCTTGACTGCAGATGGCGAATTATCATGCAACGAGAGCCGGTGGTCTACGGTTCAGGCGAGAAGATGGAGCTTCTCCGCCATTGCTCGAACAACGATGCATGGCGGCGGAAAGTCGAGGGTCGTGTAGGTGCTATGCTATACGAGCAACACGTGAGCAGTGAGCAGCGATCCCTAGGTTATTTAATATTGGTGTTGCGATACCAGCCACTTTAAGCTTTCGCTAATGCACATCTGGAGCCGACCTCGGCGAATATTGTCCAAGCTCGCTGCCAGGTACAACGGAATCTTGTAGGGAGTATTGAACTTTCTGTGCCTTGCCTTGCGCTACCTCCATTCAGGCCCTCAGGCAGCAAGGCTTGGCTGGAACAGCCGCCTCGCTTGCACGTGTAGCCAAGCGCCTGAATGGAGGTAGGCCTTGCGTAGCGTAGCTTGGGACGGTAATCATCGCTACAATGGCTTCGCAAAGGGCAATTCGCATAGGTGAGGACATGACCACCACACAACACGCTCAACACATACTGACCATTCTCCAGGGTATGTACACCTTCAGCATGCACACTTCTGCCATGGGGTCGTCTCTTTGCATTCATGATGGAAGACATTACTTCTGCTTGGCCCATAAACAATGGCTGACTCTGCGACGCTGCTATCTGTAGGCTAATAGCTGGCGATGGTATTGGCCGCGAGGTGGGTCATCACCAGGCGTAGACGACGAGAGATCACAGACTACAGCTAAGAATCTACATTCTTGGTATGATTGCTGACCTTGCACTCTTCCAGGTTATTCCAGCTGGCCGACGACTATTAGAAGCTCTGCCAGCCTCTCTCGGCCTCAACTTCTCGTTCGTGGACCTCGACGCTGGCTTCGAAACTTTCAAGCAGACGGGTGTCGCTCTACCTGACAAGACTGTCGAAACCCTCAAAAAGGAATGCGATGGCGCATTGTTTGGTGCAGTGAGGTCAGTGATGGCATGCTGCTTTCTTTCAGCACAATCACATGCTAACCTCTTCGTTCTGCAGCTCGCCAACCACACCGACAAAAGGCTATAGCAGTCCAATTGTCGCCCTCCGCAAAAAGCTCGATCTCTATGCCAATGTTCGCCCTGTGAAATCGGTCGCACCAACGCCTGCTTTCCCGGACCCAATCGATCTAGTCATTGTTCGCGAGAACACAGAAGATCTCTATGTCAAGGAAGAGAAGACGTACGATGGCGAGAAGGGTAAGGTAGCGGAAGCTATCAAACGGATCTCTGAACATGCCTCGTCTCGAATTGCGACAATGGCGGGAGACATTGCTGTACGGAGACAGAAGGTCAGACAGACAACGGGGCAAATTGGGCAAAAGTCGATGGTTACTATCACGCACAAGAGCAACGTCCTCTCGCAGACCGATGGTCTTTTCCGTCAAACCGCACGAAAGGCTCTGGAACAGCCTCGATTCAAGGATGCTGGTATAGTGATCGATGAGCAGATCGTAGACTCCATGGTTTACAAGCTCTTTCGCGAGCCAAGTACGTACGATATTATTGTGGCACCCAACCTTTACGGCGATATCCTGTCAGATGGTGCGGCAGCTCTGGTCGGATCTTTGGGCCTCGTACCATCGGCCAATGTGGGAGACGGCTTCGCCATCGGAGAGCCTTGCCACGGCTCAGCTCCTGACATTCAAGGCAAAGGCATTGCAAACCCAATCGCAACTCTACGCAGCGTTGCGCTCATGCTTGAGTTCATGAACCATGAGGAGGCTGCTGCAAGGATTTACCAGGCGGTCGATGGAAATCTCGCTGACGGAAAGCTGCTGAGTCCTGACATGGGCGGCAAGGCTACAACGGAAGAAGTTCTGAACGACGTGATCAGACGTTTATGATATGTAGAGGGAGCTATATAAGACCCGTCCACGCACCATGCTATTGAAATCCTACGAACTTTTGAGCGGCGCGCATTTGAATCTCTTATCAGCGTCGCGTCTTTTCTTTGGTTATGACCAGTGATTTTCGTGTAAGAAATGGATGCACTTGTCACTTGATGCAATTGATTCGGATCATTCCGAAAGCGGCTCGAATGAAAGTCAAGTGCGGTGACGTCAAAGTTTGCCGTTGACCAAAACTCGCATTCACATGCACGACAAGCCGCATCATTCTGCGTTTCGGCGTCCGCTCAATACACACACATTACTAGGCGGGCAGATCTCATCTCGTACCCCGAACCGCAGCAATGGCGGACAAATACATTCTCAAAGTCACGGCAGGGCCTAATTACGAAGATCAGCAACCAGTTCCCGTGAACACCGAAGAATCGATACGCATATCTAACGAGCATCTCACCGCCGACCTGCGAATACGGGTCCAAAACTACCGCGGTTTACCTGAAGGCTCACCGAAAGCTTCGCCATACTTCGAGCATGAGAAGCACAAATCCGACTTATACTCGCTGGCTTTCACATTCACGCCCAAGGAAGACTTCAATGGTCACGATCTCGTTTTTGGAAATGACTTCGACCATCCAATCAGGGATAAGCTTCCTCCCGGATTCAATCAAGCATTCAAAATTGCAACGTGGTTCATAGATCCTGGTCTGTATGGAGATGTCTATGCAGACGAGCCCTACCTGTACGGACCACTCCTCAGCTCAATCAACACCTTCAGGATAGGGCCAAAAGACGACAAGGAACAGGAAAAGGTGGAAGAGGTGCGTGGAAACGAGAATGTTGTTGTATTCGAAGAGGGTGCAGACGGCGATGGTCAAGAGGTGCGAGACAGCTTAGGCCTTCCAGCTGAGGGTCCGGCGAGACAGAAGTTCTTCTTGACGGAGAAGCATCTGAAGGACATCACATTAGAAAAGAATAGGGAGTACTCTTGCGACTTTTTCAATCCGTATTTGGACTTCAATGGTAAGCTACCTGCGTTCAAGAAAGAGACAGAGCTAACAGTATATTCTCAGATTTCGCACTCCGCCTGCCAGGTTATAGCTTAATTCCTGGGATCACGATACCCATAATATCATACTGGGATGGTCAGCCACTTCGGTAAGTTACAGGCCCTAGTGCTTGCAGTAAACAGTATGCATAGTGAGGAGGGTGCTTTGCTTGTGCTATTGATGGTCTCGACTAACACTCAAACTACAAGCTCACACTCGCTCAGATATGTCCTCAAAAATCGCAAAACCGACGAGCCACTTCTCGTCATGATCTTCACGCTTCTGCCAAAGGAAGAACACGGATCCGGGAATGATGACGGGACTGTGAAAGTCCAGGACGTCGAGAAAGAGGCAGCGGGAAGCGAAAACGACGATCTGGACTAGAATAGCCGAGTGCAGCCATCTTCAGCCATTATAGATGCATACACTTCTTCCGACCTCTTCTCGGTGGAAACAGCGATTGCCGCTCGATCTGACACGAGATCGAAGTTGCAATTCGGATTTCAATAGAACTATTCTGGAGCGGACCTTGCACGCCTAGGAGAATTCGGCGGCAGCTTCGAAATTGGAGCGCAAAGGCCCACGGCGGCTTTACATAGACTCGTCAACATGGATAGAAGACGCGATGGTACAGTAGCACCAGATGAACAGCGCTGAAGAAGCCGGTCGAGTGGCAGAAAGAGAGAGAAGGCCACGCACTGCACTGGCAGTTTTCAAGATTCAAGTTGCTTAAGTTAGGTACGATAATTTGGTTTACAGTAATCAATATTTGACCAAACGAGCATTCGTACCTCGGCTCCGGAAATAATGACATCCTCGTCTATCTGCTACCACTTCTGACCACGCATAGCCCTTCAAATTCACGAACATGGCTGCACCATTAGGACTAGATCTCAAATCGAAAAAGGCGCGGAAGCGGAGTGATTATGTCTACCTCGAAGATTACAGGACAAGATGGTATATGACAGCGGCCTCGAAGTCCCCTTCATTTGCTGATTGAAAGCCGGCAGGAACGACAATGACATGTTCCATCACATGAACAATCCAATTTACGGTGTCCTGATCGACTCAATCATCAACTCATACTTAATCCAGAAGACTGGTTACAGCCCCGGTTATGCCGACCACAACTCCGAATTCATTGGGCTGGTCGGATCGAGTTACTGCGACTACTTTGGTGCCACACAATACCCCGGAGTCGTCAACATTGGTTTGAGAGTGGTGAAGTTGGGGAAGAGTAGTGTCATGTAAGTCGTTGTCCAGAATTCAAAAATCATTTCGCGATCCTTGACACAACCTGACATGGCATGGCAGGTATGAAGTGGGGATTTTCCAAGACGGTGAGGAAGAAATCAAAGCTGTTGGCGGCTTTGTACAGATCTGGGTCGAACGCAAATCGAATAAGGTCAAGGGAGAAGGGGTGCCGTCTCATGTTAGAAAACAGCTTTTGCCTTTGCTGAAAGGTAGTGAGCAAGATCCTGCTCTTCAAAAATCGAAGTTGTAGATAGATGCGTGGCTTGGGAAATTTATGCTCTCGATGGCTTGCTTATGCTTGCTGCAGCTTTGTGAATGGATGGACTTCATTTAGTATTTTGTGGTAGAGAGGAGTTTTCTGCAATACTGATATTGCTGTCGTAATCACTTCTTGTTGTGGTGTCAGTCAGTCAGTCTTCAGACAATGGCTGTTCTAGGTTGTTTCAAACGCTCTTGTAGACGAAGCGGTTCGCATGTTCCTACTAGGTCCAAGTCATGCTCCACAGGACAGATTTTTTGGCTACACTTGGAGAATCGCTAGTTGGCAAAAGCCAATCAATCAGTTTCATGATCATTATGAAACTTTGAATCCTGCCCAGCAAAAGTCACACATTGCATTGCTCAACTCATCACCATTTACCGCTTGGGACCTTTACCTCTTCTTAAACTGCCGAAGTCGAATTCATCTTTACCTCCGTCATCCGCCAGAAACTTACTGGCGCTCCCTGTTGGGGTATGAGTTGGAGTTCTGTGTGTAGCTTTCATGTCGCCGAAAAGGGACGCATTCCCCTTGTCTTGAGAAGAGGGAGGTATCCTCTTCCCATCCTGTCCTTCCCTCAAGCTTGTGTCCTGACCGAGCATGAATGAAAAGGGACTTTGCTCAAGTGAAGGGCGTGGAGTCGGAGATTTAGCTGGCGTGCTTTGGCCCTGCAGAAGGACCGTCTTGGACTCTTCATCAACATTAGTTGTCGAATCAGAGGCTGCGGTCTCTGGCTTGACATCTGTATGCGTTTCGGAATCGTCAAAGTCTTCAAATGTTGACGGATCGGCGAGAGCTGGCCGATGTGGAACAGCCGTTTCTTGTCCGGTCACTGGATCGTTCGTTAACTCAGGCAACCCGATTGCCTCTGTCTTCGAATGATCTGGATCCACTTCGGGCTCTTGCCGCGAGCTCGTAGCAATGTTTGTAGGGCCTTTTCCAGACTCTTGCGTGGCCTCATCCTCGGTAGGGAGTACCAAAGTCGGTTGGTCAAGGTAAACGTGCACAAATTGCACACGTGCAATAGCAGCACTGAGCTTCTCTACGTTCGCATTTGGAGTCGAATCATCATCATTTACTTGCTGGTCTCCACTGACGAGCCCTTGACACTCCCAAAGTTCATTGACAGCTTGTCCCAGCAGGATGGAAAGCCTCCTGTTACGTTCTTCCATTTCTCTCAGTCGCTCCAATACGCGTGGAGTTCCAGAGCGTCGCCAGGGTGGAGGTGATGGTGCTTGCGAGTCTCTGATCTCTTGAGCTTTCTTGTGAATGTCGTCTATCGTACTCCGCACTGCTTTTCCGATCCCCAGTCTTTCACTTTGGGCGAACAAGTTCTTAGCTGTGCTCTGCAAGACCGCTTCGATGTTGTTCCGGGAAGGCTTCGAGTGCCGAACACCAGCGTTCAGGCCTGAGAACTGCGTGATGTTTCTCTGAAGGGCAGGAGGTGTGGTGGGTCGATTTGAGCTGGTTAAAGGTCTGCCGGTGTATTTGAGAACCAAGTAGCTACTACCTTCAGCATTCATGTGATCTCGCAAATACAGTGCATCGAGTCCCAAAGCCTGGGCGGGCAAATCTTTGTCAAGATCAGGATATCGCAGCAGAAGTCCAAGAGCATTGTTGTAATCTGCATCCAGCAGGTGCCAGCGGATTCGTAGCAGCATGGCAAGACACATGTGGTCAACAAGCTCGAGGGAGGGATCTTCGGCGAATATGACGTCCCAGAGTGCAAGCACACTTTCAAACTCGAATTCCCGGCCAAATAAGAGCCTAATCCATCGTATGAGGAAGACTTGAGGCAGCACATCGAGACTTTCGAGATGTTTAACGAGATGCGGGTCGATCTCCGCCATCAGCTCGTTGAAAATATGTTTGCTTCTGGTGGCGATAGACACCGGTCCTTCTGAGATGTACTGAAATCCTTCTGTCAGAATTGGATCCTCGATTCTTCCAGACTAGCGAAGCCTTCAAACAACTTACGAATGTCTTCGCGCTCTGCATCACTTGACCAAAAAGGGCAAATGAATCGTGCTCTACGAATTCGGGGTCGAAAAGATGCTTGATTATGGCATCTTCGCCAAGGGTCTTGCTTGCCTCGCCCACGTCCACTGCCTCGCCCTCTACCACGCACAGGATCGGCGCAGCGAGTTCGTGCATGCCCTGCCTGTAGCCGACATCTGGATTCAGTTTGCAATATGTGAACAGCAGATCGGTAAGCATACGCCTGTGACTAGGCTGGCGCAGGATGGACTGGCGCTCGACATCCTGCACGATTTCTGCTCGGAGCTCTTCGTCTTTTCTCAATTGTTGCCAGGGAGAGGACTTTGAGGACTTAGCTTGCATCATATATGAGGCCAGAACAGCAGTTCAGCGTGCAAATGGAATTCTCATACCTCTGGATCCTGCGTGAGGGGATCAAAGCCAGAAGCGATTTCTTCGGGATTGTCTATGTGGCGAAAGAAATGTGCACGCAGTGAGTTGTAGGCCGATCGTGAGGAAGCAAGCGTTCGCTGCCAATCGTCAATGTCCAAAGTGTCGAAGAGAAGAAAGGCTTTCCAGCAGATGGATCGGAGGCCGCGGGTGGCGGCCGAGGTGTGTTCATCAAGTCGCACACCGTCCTTCAGCTCCCTGAGAGTCTTGTACTGCGCAAGTTCCTGCCAGCTGGTTTTGGCATCGTCAAGGCTTCTCATGCTGGATCTGGATCTGAGATGGTGGGTGGTCGATACGGTAGGTGAAGCCAGCCTTGGTGTGCCGTGTGCCGGGTGCCGGGTGCCGGGTGCCGGGTGCCGGGTGCCGGATGCCGTGTGCCGTGTGCCGTGTGTGGCAGTGGCAGTGGCGCAAATTGGCTTCGGCCCGGCGCCTCGTGCCCGAACTTTGAAATCTTGCCGATCGGCTTCAATCTCCGAAAGTGCCCCCTTCGTCCCTTCCCGACAGACTTGCTACTGCAATGACTCGCCTCGCCTGGCAGCGTCAAACGTCATCGAAGCTTGACACGCCGGCCCGCACGAGACGCCACGAAAGAGCTCGAGCGGTCTGGCAAAGGTACTACCATTTCAATACACTGCATCATTCTATCATCCTCATTGCCTCCAACTATCAGGAAGATCAGGTCGCAACCACCGTTTGTCTTTGCTACCTCATGCAATGGCACCGGCATCCTATGAAGTACCACCACGGAAGAGAACAGTACGAGCAGTGAGTCGCGCCATACTCAGCGTGCCTCTTCCAAACCCCAACTAAACACTCATTAGTGCGATCAATGTCGACGACGGAAAGTCAAGTGTAATGGGAAGCTGAGTTGCGTAGAGTGCGATGGCCTCGGGTCTGTACCATTCGCCTCGACTGTCCCATGATCTGCTAAATCTTTGCAGACTGCCGTGTTCATATGGCTCGCAATTCAAGCTGTCGCGAGGACCTTCCTACGTGAATCATCTCGAGAAAAAGATCGCAAGACTCGAGTATGAACTCAGGCGAGCCTCCGGACCACATCAACGAAGCCATGACACCATATTCAACGAACCTTCGACTATCGATGCCAGCAAATCACGAGAGGAGGATGTTTTCCCACATCGACCTGCTATTCAACATTCATGCGAACAATCGCCCAACCCTGACCTTCAGGGCCAATTGAAAGACTTCGAAAATCGTTGGATCAATGTGCACTCGTCCAATCATTTCCCGCGTCTGCAGCCAACTCTTCCCTCTGCCGAAACACCTCGATCCATAGAAATGTTCGATGATGCTACGTTGAACGTCTGGGTATGTCATGTCACCCGACCCATTTTATCTGATCAGGACTAATGATTGCAGATGCCACCGCCTCTAGAACCTTCAGTGGATGTCTACCCTGTCACAGGAACCCAGCCCTCGAAGACCAGCGAGCCCATCGCCATTGGTGCCCATCGCATTTCCAATGCACCCTGGGGCTGGAATCCATTCAATCCTGGGACTATGTGCACAGTCGCTACTGCGCTTCCGTCAACCGAATTCATACCTTGGTAAGAATACAGCATTACCAACAAAACGTTCGCATCTAATTACGAATATGACGGAAACGACGCGAGGCTTTGAGAGAATTTTGAGCGAAGTATGGCGCGATTGGGTGGAATGGAAGCATGCATCTTGCGTTGGTCGAGGTCTTTCAGGACCTTTGGTATTACATAGTGTGTATTATGGACAACTGGATCCACCGCGGTCCAGCTATAGAACGAGCTCGAAACAAATTGTCGTGCAACACCACCACTTCCCAATGTCCCCTCGTTAGCAAAGGCAGACTTCAGTGAAAGCGTAGATAATGCGTGCAGCATTTCGGGCATGTGTTAGGGCTACCCTTGGCGAAGGCGGTGTGCCGTCTCAACGTTATCATCAGCGCACGTCGATGCGGGTCCTGACTCACTACACGTGGAACCAAGTGGTCGGTGACAAATGGAGGTTCGCGCCTTTTCCCCCAAAGTACGATTGGGCCAGTAAAGTGATGTCCTGGCGATCGCTCTCGAAGAATACATGTACTTGTGCACCCACCTGGCTGAAGCTACAGTATGTCGAATGCTGCCATGCAGGACGCAGCGCGGCAATAGCGCTTGGCAGGCATTGAGCGACTGTAGGTAGTAGGCAGCTTTGGCCCACTGATCTCGCGTTTGAGCTGATCGAGCAGCTGTACGGTACATGCTCCTCGTGAATCGACCTGAGAACGCGGCGATGGATTTTGATGACTCTCACCGTAAGTAAAGACATAGTTTGCACCATGACGTCAATTCTGCTGTTACCGCCGGTGCTCGTGGAGTGAATGCGTTCAATGCACATTATTGTACTTGACCATGAAACCATAGGCTGTCGCGTCGACTGCGCAAATTTCGGCCCTACCATTCAGTCGGTACTATTATATATCATTAGAGCTCGGTCTGTGTGTGGCTGGAGACACACGACGAACAGGTTTATCCGACTTTTCCAGATGTGGCTCAAATTATCTGGTCGTGTCCCCTTTTCCCACAATGGCGGAAGCACCTTGGGATATGACGTGGTCAGATTCCGTCTTCTCGTGGCAGTGCATACTCTCTTAACCTTTGGCCAAGAGGGCGAAACTGATGAAAGTCATGGTACCTCAGTGGCCAAGAACATGGACAACATGAGATATGAGTGCCGGCGGCGAGTGCCATCTGTACTGAATACGAAAAATGGTGCCGACGCAGGGCCCCGATAGTCGACGGTTTGCTTGTGTTGAAAGCGAAGCCTCTGCTCCTGAGCGCAAGTACTTCCGTCGGGGTTTGCCTCCATCTACTGTTGAATCGTCTTGCTGTGGATGCCATCACTATACAGCAGCTGGAATCTCGGCTGTGGAGGATTTTGACGCTACTGGGTCGACAACTGCAGTCTCGGCCTTCATTGAAGACCAACTGGTCTCGCGATATGCTCCGCGCTCAAATGGCTTCATTGGAACCAGCCCATATTTCTCAAACATGACCTTGTCAGTATCCCAGCCAACTGCCTCCGTGGTCAACATCTTCTCTCCAGTGAACACAGCATTGGCACCGGCGGAAAAGCACAGAATCTGTTCGGCCTCACTCATGGTTGTTCGTCCTGCAGCGATACGGATAATTGTGGCCGGCATGACAAGTCGAGCAGTAGCAATGGTTCGCAGAATGGCATGAAATGATATGCGTTCCTTGTTGCTGTCGCCAAGGGGTGTGCCTTTGATCGGGACCAGAGCGTTGACCGGGAATGACTCTGGGTGAGCTGGGAGAGTCGAGACGGTGTAGATCAGGCCAACGTGATCCTCCGGTTTCTCACCTAAACCCAATATACCGCCTGAGCACACATTGATGCCAGCGTTTCGAACGTTTGACAAAGTTTGAAGTCGTTCATCGTAGGATCGGGTTGTGATGACGGATGGGTAGTGCTCTCGGGATGTATCAACGTTGTGGTTGTACGCCGTAAGGCCGGCTTCTTTGAGCTCATCCGCTTGGTTCTGATCAATCATGCCAAGCGTAACGCAGACTTCCATGTCCATGGCGCGAATCCCTTCAACCATGGCCTTGACGTTCTTGAGGCTGGTCTTGCGTCCCCGCATGTCTCGCCAAGCAGCTCCCATACAGAACCTTGTGCTACCGTTACTCTTGGCTATCCGTGCTGCATTGAGGACATCATCGACTGGCGACATCTTTGTGGCCTTTAGCCCAGTGTTGTAGCGGGATGATTGAGCACAGTACGAGCAGTCTTCACTACAACCTCCGGTCTTGATATTCATTAACGTGCACATTTGCACAGCCGAAGGAGAATGGAATCGCCGATGCAAGACACCCTACAAAGCGATCAACACCAACGTCGACTCCTACGCTGGCTTCACATGTGGCATTACAATCCCTGAAGCTGTCCTCAACGTACCGACTGATGTGCCAGCTCCATGAGCGGCGTATTGTAGATGTCCCGAATCTCATCTTTCGTCCAGTCGTAGCGTGGAGCACGGGCATTGACAGCGTTCCATAGTGCACTCTGGGCCTCTGGGGACGGGGGAGGAGTACTCGAGCTCGACAAGGGTGAGAAGGCGTCGTTGACAGGAGTGCTGAATGGTCGATTGAAGACGGTTGAAGCAGGTTGGAGGGAGCGAGCAGCAGCCCGTCTGGAGAGTGTTGTGAGCGACATGAGCAATAATCCTGACACCAAATCCTGCTGTACAGTAGAGTCAGGACTCAGGAGGATTGTGCTGTAGTCTGTAGGTAGTTGAGCGGCTTATTATTACATGGCACCAATAGCGGATGGCGGTCAAAAGAAAGTTCGCAGGTATCCGCGTCGCGCCGCCTCGCATCCCAATCACCAATGCTCAACTCATAACATAACCCCCATACCATCTCTCCCTCCATCTCGTCTCATCATCGCAACGACGTCTTCCTTCAAAGTTTACGCTCCATCTAATTATTGCCAACGCGCTGACTGCAGCTTGTGCTGACTGCAAATCTCCGCAGGTCCTCTTGGATGCCGCGGCGGAGAGATCCATCTCGGCCCGTCACCGTCACCGGAGAGACTGCCAAAAATACATCCGCGTCGCTCGATACCGTCTCTGTCGAATTCGACACAGCGCCGGCATGAACAGGAATCCATCAGGAGCGCACACGATGACCATGAGCCGCTCTCCGAAACAGACCAAGTCTGTCGGTTCCTATGCGGCGCTCGCTCCTCAACGGCCGCTCCCTGCGCCCTCCTGTCTGTTCGTATTCTGAGCCATTTTGCCCTGCCTCTGGGCGACGCTGTCTGCGAGAGACACGGCGTCCGCGATGCTGGAGCCTTGGCCACTTTACGGGCTTCTGGCAAATCAATCTGATCCAGCAAGAGCAAGGATTAATAAGGATGCGTCTTGGACTCTTTGGCACACTGCCAAGTAAAGGAGACCTATCAGAGCCAAGTGGTGACACAGATGTCGAGCTGCTGCGATCGACATTATTGCACCTGTCGGTCGGCTTTAACCTTCTGTCCCGAAGCTGTCTGTCGACGACTGACCTGGCCCTGAATATGTCTACAAAATACGCGAGCATCAATGGAACATGATCGAAAACGCCACGCAGACTACCAAAGCCATGTGAGCTCGAAGGGCTAGAGAGATTCACAACAGTGCCTGGGCTGGCCAGCTATGCAAGAACCATCCGCAAAGACCTATGAGCCAATATCACATTGCCACCAGCCGGAGGATTGAAAGAACTGTCCACTACTGTATGCACGTGTGATGCCAAACGGCAAAAGGCACGGAGACGTTGGTCGGCATAGAATACGGCAAGATCACCCACTGCAACGTACCTACCGCGCGCCTCCTGCTCATAACTGGAGGCCAAGTCGGGGCGCCGAGAACGTCACTGCCCACTCTGAGACACTTAGCCCCAGATTTGTCCCTGTTGATGGACACGCTCACGGCGTCTGACGTTCTGTGCGTGACATACTCCTGTCATGTAAGCTCAGCTCTCTGTCTTCCACAATCTCGGATTCAGCCCACATGGCCCAAAACGGCAAGTACGGATCTGGATTCATCTTTACTGCTTACATGGCACGGGATCTACAAGACTTCACCTGCTCATCAGGATTGCTGCCTCCTTGGCTCGGCGGCACAAACGAGTGGATGAGACATCCTGAATCCACACAGGAGCGACAATTGCATCCTGAAAGGAGCGCAATCAAAGTGCGCGCACGAGGAAGGAGTGTGAGCTGGCGAACAAGATATATAAAGACATGCTTCCATCTCGTTCTCATCCATCATCCACAGCAAACAATCAACAGCACTCAACCAACCCAAGTCACTCTTTACCACACTTTCAGTTCAATCAACCCAAGAACCAACAATCGATCAAAATGCAGTTCACCACCGTCTTCACCATCTTTGCCACCGCCGCCCTCGCCATGGGTGCTGCCGTTCCATACGACGAGAGCTCCTCTGAGCCATCCATGCCAGAGTCCTCCAAGCCAGCTTCTCCAGAGATCGGTTCCTCATGCGGCAACAAGCAGGAGAAGGTTGCTTGCTGCAACGGAGCTGCCAGCTCTGACGGCGAGCTCTCTCTGCTCAACCAAGTCCTCGGCGGATCCTGCGCCCTCGACCTTCTCGGCAACACATGCTCTCAGGGCAACGTTGCCTGCTGCCCAACTACCCAGAGCGTAAGTCACTTGTAGAAGCCTATCCAACACAAGACCTCTCCACTAACAATGAGTCTTGAATGCAGAGCGAGGGTCTCACTGTCATCAACATTGGCAGCCTGTGCAACCTCATCAACTTGTAAATAATGCAAGTCAAAGACCTTGCGGACAACAATCATGTTACTTTCACCGGGCTTAATGGGCATATTTTTGAGCGACATGGCAACTACACGGATGTGATCAGCACGGGTCAAAAAGGGAATGCATATCTTGTGGATTAGTCTTATTGTATTGTGCAAACATGTGGATTCCACTCACTACCTGCTTCCGCCTTCCTACATTTACATTGGGTGCCATTGCATGGATCTTGTAGTTTTGATCTTAAAGAATATGACTTGCCGAACGATTCCAGTCGATCGGTTTGTTGAATAATGGCTCGAGGCGATGTGTTACATGTGAGTAGGTTACGTTGTCTCAAGATCGAATATGCATCAAAAGGTACACTCATCCCGACGACTTGCCGCGAAGATCGATTAGAAAGGATGACTCTGAAAGAAAAGGCGTCATGTCGATTGCGCTACACAACATCGTGCGAGCGAGCTACAGTCGCTATATCATAACATGCGGCATTGCATCTAAGACTTTCCTCCCTTCTTGCCAGCCTCAACTGGGTCGACTTTGCCGCCTGCGAATTCACCTTTACCACCGCTACCGCTGTCACCAGAGTCGTCGGACGAAGCGCCGGAAGAGTTTCCTCCTTTCTTTCCCGCCTCCACTGGGTCGACCTGTGAAGAAAGTGAATTTTAGTGTCGTTCTGACTGATGACCATCCACGGTAACATACCTTGCCGCCAGCAAATTCTCCAGTGCCGACTCTCTGGTCTGGCTGGCCGTCCTTGCGGAGACCGTCGTGTTCTGTGAATAGTGTTAGGTCGAGGCTGTATGCTTGAGGGAGATGAGGTACCAACCAGTTGGCTTGTAGTCAGACATGGTGGTGTTTGTAAGGATGAAAGCTGGTTTGATGTCTCTGTAGCTTTTGTCGAAGTTGTTATCGTTGATGGTGTTGTAGAAAGTGCTTCCTGGATGGTCGAAGGCCAGCTACTTATGCTGTTCGGTTCCTTGAGATCATTACCGCGTCTGCGGTCATCGACTCTTCTCCTGCACGGCAGTGACCATACAGGAACACAGAGACAGACGCGCATTGGATCGACAGATCAAGCGGTCACGCCCCAGCCTCATGGACCTCCGCCAGCGGAGACAATCAAAGTATCAAAGCCCAATATTCGGGCTGGCATCGATCATTTGACGTGGATTTGACGTCGGACTGTCGTATGAAATGCCTCACGATGCTGTCTTTGCCAGGCCGATGAGAGATTGGTCTCAGTATGGTGCATATCCATAGCGTTTTCATCACATGGGGAACGTGAGGTTGCAGGCCGATGCAGCATGGATGAGATCGTGGAGACCTCAGACAAGGTCGCTTGGGTTCTTGGAAAGTATTCCTATTCGAGTATCCCTGAATGTCGTGAGATTGAGTTCAGGCACAGTCATGTCGGTGAAATGCTGTGAGATGTGGAGTGGTCACAGATGCAGGATTGCAATTGTGTAGTGTAGTCATGATGACCGCTTGATCCAATTTTGAGGCTAAAGCGTCCGAGAACCGAAACTCGATCATTTCTAATCTTCAGCATACTGCACAACTTGAATTCTGATCCACTGACAATATGCTATCGTTCGAGGGTGGCAAATTTGAAGCTCCCTAGCCGTATCCCAAATGCGATGGGCGAAGTTCAGCCTTCGTTGCAAGAGAGTGAAATCGTCACATCGACTTTGTGCATGCCTCAGGCGCAAGCTCTTCGACATTGATTTTCTAAAAGCCCATGTTCCATGCCTTTTTTGGCTCATGCTGCTCACCCGGAACGGCATCCCAGGTCTCGTCTTTCTGCTTTGAGGTACTCCATACCTCACCGCCTTTGGAAAAGCCTGGCTCCCATTTCTGGGCATCCTTCTTGTCAATCTTGAATTGGCCACTGGCAGAGTCCTGGAGTCCTCCAACCCAACCCGAAAGCTTTTGCCGCCAAGTCGCTGATTTCCTTCCCTTTGCAACGAACAGAGTCCTCTGAACAGTGCCCGTCTTGAGCTCCATGACGGCAGGCTGTTTCAAAGCTACGATATCGAAATCTTCGAATCCAGCTTCGATGTACATATCTCGCAGGGTTTCCGGCTTGAAGCCATTGTGTTTGATTGTGTGCTTCATCTCCTGGGATTCGCCTTCATTGCCGGAGTGGTCGTGATTGTGCTTCTCATCAAAGGGCAAGAAGTCGACAATGACCAAGACCTGTTTGGGCCGAGAAGTCAGCTTTGTATTTGATCGTCGGTGCTACAAGGCATCATGACGGGAGACTTACACCAGTATCTGCCTTCAATCGCTCGGCCAGACGCTTCATGGCAATGTCTGGATACTCAAAGTGATGAAACCCAAGACCAATGACTGCGATATCGAATTCATACCATTCCTGATCTCTGAACTGCGGATCCTGGGTTGCTTTCTGTGCACAGAGGTCACCGACCACTGCATGAGCTTGTTCCTCGCTAAGACCAGAAGATTTAGCCGCTTCATTGTACTTGATTACCATGTTCTCGCTGATGTCAATTCCTCTGATAGTCTTGACATATGGACCCAGAGCCTTTGTGATTGCACCTGTTCCACATGCATAATCCAGAAGTCGAACATCGCGCTTCTTGGGATGCTCTTGCGCATCGACCCATAGTGCTCCAATCCAGTCTTTCCGTTGCTGCAGAGCCTCTGCTACCTGGTTTGCTAGAGCATGCTGCCAAGGCTTTGTGTTATAGGAAGCGGAGAGGTCATCGAAGGCTTTGCGATTTGCTTCTGTAAATGCCGACATGTTCTTTGTACAACGTGGGTAGATTCTTCCTGAGAAGACGTACGTAAGCTAGCTCAACCTGCGAGGGGTAATTGCGGTGGCTGGTAGATTATTGAACGAGGAGCGACACGGGCTTTCCACGACCTTAAGAACTTGGCTTCATCCCAGTGAGGTCTTCTGTCCTGATGCGGAGGGTTTTAATACGCAACAGCCTCAGATGAAGATATCACTGAACGACATGCTAGATGTCTCCAGCTGATGGCTTTAAGCGCGAAAGCCTCCAGCCAAAGTCATCGAAGTTTGCCATTCAGGGACTCGGATATCTCTGATTGGTGTCGCAGAAGACGTGCCCATATAGTTTGACAGAAGATGAGTAGCAAGAAGAGGGCAATCTGAATGACAAGTCAAGGCGTGAGAGATTCGGGTTGCACAAAACAAGCAAAACAACCTGGTGGTCACGAACTTCCATTAGTGTCTGCCCTGTGTCAAGCCAATCACGAATCTGACAGGCCTCTTTACACGCAAGACATGCATAAACAAACTAATATATGCCTGGCACTATCCTCCACCTCACTTTCTCACAGTACTTGTCCCAATCTGCGCCGTACTTCCGCTTGCACTTTGCTTCATCCCTGCGCTCACGATGGATGAGCAAAATTGCGAAGTACAGCATGTAGAAGTAGGTGATGGGAATCGCGTAGCCTTTCATGCCGTCCGTTGTTACCAATCTCGTCCCCTCAAACAAGACTGTTGGAGTCAGCTTATACCCTGCTGCAAGGGTAGGTAAGCAGTATGCCCAGCTCATGACCCAGTCACCAAGATAGTTGATGTGCCTCGCTGTGCCCCACCATCCGGTCGTGAGCAGCCTCGAGCCGGTCTTAGTCTCGATATACTCCAGATGGGCAACACTTGGGTCGTTAGGATCCGTTCGAAAGCGATTTTTCTCGCTGTTGGCTGCACGGAAGATGTAGTATCCAAAGGCTTGAATAGCGAGAATGAGGACCAAATAGAAGGGGCCAAGAACAACTGGATGGACACTGAGATATTTCGCTGGTATGCTGTAGACGAATGGAAGCCAGGCGAGGTCGCCAAAAGCTAACATGAAGCCAAATCCATCCTGGATTAGGTCAATTGTTGTGAGAATTGCCGGCTCCATGTAAAGTGCATCGAAGACGTAGAAAGCTTGCGCGAAGTTGACCACGACTGATTCGTTTTAGCACCAAGCGTGCAATTGTTCAGGTGTTGAACTTACGCATAGAATCTGTGACATAGCCATAGCTCTTGTACTGCTTTGCCATGAACGCCAGGTTGAGCATGATCCAGCCCAGCATTCCGGGACGCAGCTCCATGAAGCTCTTTATGTCGATCTCGCCAAAGAAGGGAAGCTCCACACGAGGATTGAGCTCGCGTCCGATGTACCAATCGTATATGAGGTTTCCACTGTGACCGCCAGCCGCCAGCTCTCTCTTGTCTTGATTGCCAGGCTTGACCTGGAATGATTTGGCGTAGACGAAGGTCGCCAGCGCATAGGAGATTATGATGTTGCAGGTGAGGAGCTGGATATAGTTGCGGTTGATGAATGTCCAAACCTGGAAATCAGGTCCTCGGAGCCAAGTACCGGCGGCGCATACGATCATGACGGTGACGGCAGACAGGAAAGCTGCAGAAAGGTCAGCGGCACGTTGCATATTTGCTGGAGATGTGCTCACAGTTGAAGCGATACTTCAGTCTGCCACCGGTCCTGAGCTCTGTTCCTTCAACCTCTTGCGCTGGGAGCAGAACATAGAGCAGCAGAGACAGGAAGTACCAGAACAGCGTGCCGAGGATGGCCTCGATATTGATTAAGCCGGTCCAACCCGGCCATCCGACTTCAGCTGCCAGCGTATCGAGTGCATGCTGCCACGAAGGCTTGTTAGAGAGCAACGGCGCAGAAAACAGCTTGCTGGGTGTCAAAAGCGAAGGTGGTGGACAGCCCGAGACGTCGTTGCAAAGGAAAGCGAAGGCATAGCAGCCGATGGGCAGTCCAAAAGAGATCAACGACGCGCCAACACTGCGTATCTACCTGTCAGTCGTGGGCATGGGCATGCGCATGCGCATCAATGTTGGACCAACTCACGGGCCTCCAAATTCATAGCCGTGGGGTTCTTCTGTTTCATGTCTAGACGCAGGCGCAGGCGCAGACGCAGATGCAGATGCAGATGCAGACGCAGACGCAGACGTAGACGCTACGGTGGAGGGCGACGTCGTGGATCGTGTAGAGCGCTTCGGAGGCATTGTGGTGGTGTGTGAATGAATGACGGAGGAGAACGATTCACATCACGTACAGTGTACAGGAAACAAACACGACCGGGATCGTACGAGTACCGACGCGTCGACTTGTATGACGCTGTGGAGTTCTGGCGATTGGTCGACTCGACTGTCGTCACCGTCACCGCCGACGAACGCCTGCCCTGTGCGCCGCCTTCATAAGTTCATACATTTCTCCCACTAACTTCGCTCTTGACGACCTGCACCTGCACGCCGACAAGCACTTCTCAGTGATGTGATGTGGGGGAATCTCTTCTGACAGTCATGCTCTGTGCATTAGCAAGTTGCAGGCGCAAGATCCGCAGTATCTAAAGATGCCTTTCATCACTCATCCAAACGGACAAACCACTCCCTACCTACCTGCTTGATGACTTTGCAGAGCCTTGGACGCCACACGAGACCATTTCGATCCAGCACGGCTTTGGCCGGAACTCGAATTTCTGGTACAAATGGATTCCAACACTGTCAAAGAAATACCGCGTCATCCGCCGCGATGCTCGTGCTCATGGCCATTCATCGTCACCGGCGAAGGAGCACTATAAGTACAGCATTGACACCATCCTAGACGAGATTATCGACACCCTTGACCAACTCAATGTCGATAAAGTGCGCTATCTACGAGAGTCGACTGGCGGTATCTGGGGAGAGTTCCTCGCTGCTCGCCATCCAGAGCGTCTGCACAGCCTCACAATTTGTTCCTCGCCACTGTACATGCCCAAAGCCGCCCAGGAAATGCTCGCCTTTGGACACACAAGCTGGGCCGAAGCCTGTCGCTCACTTGGCTCTCGTGGTTGGGGTCAGGCATTGCTAGATGTCACTAATTCGGGTCAAGACGCTCCGCCAGGGTTCGTAGATTGGTGGCTAGAACACTTCAGCCTCCCATCTGGGGCCGGGCTCGGTGATCATGCGGAACTCCTGTGCGACCCTGAATTTGACGCAAGAAAGATCATTCATCAGATCAATGTGCCCATGCTCCTCCTGACACCGGCAAACAGCAAGCTTGTAAACAAGGAGGAACAGGTGGACTTGAACCGAGCGGCTGCAGGGAGCCAATTGGAGATTATACCAGGCCATGGGCACGAGATATATCTCGATCAAGCTGATTTGTGCCAACAGAAATTCTTGGAGATCCTTGGTGATCTTGGACAGGACTTGAGTCGGAGATTGTCTCATGCATAGCAGAGAGACTGGAGAGTATTGAGCCCGACGGGTGGGTATGCTTTCGTGCGAGAAGGTTTACTCCAATCGCCGTAATATCCTGAAATTGGTTGATACGATGTTGTACGACTTATGGATTGTCAGCTGATGCTCGATCTTCCTTCGATGTCAATGCAGGACATTCGCGACTTCAGGCTGTAGCTCAAATGATACAAGCGTGCTGAAACTCATAATGTTGGCGATAGCAAAGGCACTCCGCTTCAGTTGTAGGGTAATGATCGATTCCAGCAGCATGATGTATTATTTTTGGCTGTCGCAGAAAGCCCACGTTGACAGAGTGATATTTCCTGTCATCAAGGTGGATCTCAGCCACAGCGGGATAGAACGGTTCGGTTGACGGGTAGGGCTGATATGTTATGCATGCTGCTTAAAGTTCGCGTCCGTCCACGGTGTCCGTGAGCCCACGCAGCTAGGCAAGGCGAGGCGAGGTGGTCGATCACGGTCGCTTCCTGCACAACGACATTCGCACTACTGAGCACCTGAATAGAGGATTAGAAACAGCACCATGCCGTCCAAAGAGCCGTCACTGGGCCAGATAGCGCAGAAGATTTTCGAAGACGCGCTGCAGCACGTGGTGCACAACATCGTCCTCGCGAAACACCACCAACACAAAGCCTTGATCAACTCGCTCGATCCGACCTCAAGACTGCCTCACTGCGATACGTGCAAGCTGCCCCGCCTGCTGGATCCTCCTCTCGCACCCAAAGTCCGTGGCACTGCAGCCGACCCTCCCTCGAACACCAACTACTGCGATCGGAAGCCGTGGGCGCGGAGACCCGGTCACGACATCTACGGCAATCCATTCCTCAAGAGCGACGTCACTGGCCGGCCATTGAGCAAGAAGGAGCGAGAAGCGCAGGCACGAGAGAAGAAGGACAAGGACAAGGACAAGGGAGATGGAACTCCGGCCAGCCAGGACCACGAGGGCGATGGGACCGGTCCACCTTCGCCAAGTGGAGAAGGTGATGAAGGCAACAACAAGAAGTTGGAGAAGGGTGAGAAGAAGGCGAGCAAGATCGACGAAAAGCTGCGCAAGGGCGAGTACGTCCCGTGGCACACATGTCCGAGCTGCAAACGGTCGCTGCTCATCACACGCTTTGCGAAACATCTCGAACAGTGTATGGGCCTCTCAGGTCGTGCGGCTAGTAGAAACGCCATGGCTAAGATGAACGGCACACCCAGTGCATCAAGAGGCGCTACGCCCAATCCGACGGGAAGCCAAGATGGAGCCGGCGGCAAGGAGGGCGGAGGCGATGAGGATGAAGATGAGCTTGTGGTGAAAGCTCCTGGTCTCAAGAAGAAGTTGCTCAAGAAAGGTCTCAAGGAGAAAGTCAAGAAGGACAAGGCGGCAAATGGGAAACTGCCTAAGAGTCTGGCTGCGAAACGTCCTCCCATCTCGTCAGCGACTGCCACCGGAGCCACTGCCACACAGACATCTTCGCCTGCCCCGAGTAGTGTTGGCGGCGACAAGCGAGATCGCGACGAGCTGGGCCATGATGACGAGGACGAGGTCCATGTGAAGAAGAGGCAGAAGCTTCAGAGGGTCGGCAGCACTGCGAGCATTCTTTCGCAGAGCACCACTGCCCCGGAGATGGAGCGAACAGATTCCTTGGATGGCAGCTTCATGGATGGGAGCGTCGCAGATGATTAGCGAGGCATTGAGCATTTGCAAAGTCAAGTCCGGCGTGATCGTGCATTTGGAGCTACAGGACAGCATCGGCGTTGGCATGACATAATCATGGATTGGAGCACAGGCGTTCACCACGAAGGAAAGCGCTTTCTGGTCGTCGCGCAAGCAAGGGAGATGTCATAAATTCACAGCGACTGCTGAAGAGATTTTCCATCCTTATGAAGAGGTCCATTGAATAGGAAACCCATTACGCTTGCGAACACCACATGAAAGAAGTTTTCCTCGCTGTGTTTTCCTCCACCACAGCCTATATATCTTGCATTGCTCACGCACACAGCAGGCCATTCGCTCAAAGAACCTCGTATTGGAGCAGATGCAGGCGACGTTACTAGCATCACATCCTCTATAATCTGGAGTTATAATACAAGACTGGAAGCAGTCTGGGAGGTTCGAGATGGGACGAAGAGCGGTCGAAGTGCTTGGAGTTGGAGTCACTGTGATGCTTTGGACCGCCTAGCTTCACCCAAGATTTACAAGTCTCGCGCCTGCTTTTCAAAGCGAGGTAAACAGTGAATACTTACAGGCGTTGTTACAATTTTGAAGGATTTGAAGCATGCAAGTATTCAGTAAGATGGAGATCTGGGGAGACAACTTCTCATGAACCAACTGCATGTTCTTCGTTGCCCAGAGGACGAGTGGAGTCGCCGTAGACTCCGCCATCGAGGATCCACTGCTCGTTATCTGCAATATGTCAGCACACATCTGAGAAGTTCATCAGATCTCAAGTAGCTCTTACCATCTTCATCCATTTGTACTCTGCGCCAATGGGTGGTCTTCCTGTCTCTAATGGCTTCCTTGCCTTTTCCTTCTCGGGCCAGTGGTCGTATCAGACCGGAAGCCAGAGGATTGTTACTAAAAGCGCCTCCTTCAGTTCTAGCTGGTGCTTGACTATCATCGACCATATCGTCATCGTTTTCGGCGCTGAAATCAGGCTTCTCAACCTCTGCCATCCGTCTTACGACCTTGCCTCCTTTGAGGTCAATACTAGCAACCACTTGTCGCTTCTCATATTCTGGCTTCGCACTCCACTCCATCTCACGAAGGACACGCTGCTGCTTCTTGAGTTGCTGAGCGCGCTCTTGAGGACTCGCCCACATGTTTGTGCCGGCTGTTGGCACATCGAAGTCTGCAGCTTCGTCATGTATCTGGGTTCTGCGAGCATTTTGGGCTTGAAAGCCAAGCAATTTGTCGCGATGCGCCTTTGCTTTCTTGCCGGCCTCATCATCTGAGCCGTCCGGGGTACCTGGTGCCGAGGAGAGGGGAGAAGATCGGGCAGACGAAGCCTGTGAAAGAAAATCACGACCGGTGAAAGCTCTTGCCTTACCGTGTGCTACTTCGGCCTTCTTGTGTGCTGAGTTGTTTGCTTTCATCCGCTCCTCCCCGCGCTCGTCTTTCAGTACTCTAAGGACCTTTTGGATTTCATCTGGCGTGAGCAGAGGCGACTTGCAGAATGTACATGGTCCTAGGCCCTCTTTCACACAAATGACCTTGCCACAATTAAGGCAATTTGGGGCCATGTCCAAAAGAGGGTGCCTCGTTGCCATACAGTTGCATTTCCGCTTCTCGTCATCCACAGCAGACGAAGCGAGTAGCGCAGGATTAGTCTGCACTTCCAGGCTCCTAATTGCAGAATCTAAATCTGACAATGCAGTAGAAGCACCGTGCATTGCGGTGCCTCCGGATATACTGACCTTGGTCTTAGGAGCGGGCGATCTGACTCTTGAGTGCTGTGTGGAGGATGATCTTGTTGCTGAGAGAGAATCTGAGATGAGACGGCCTGAGGCAGAAGGTGGCGGCGGCTTTGAGATAATGGGCTTGGCAGTCACACTTGCATCGTCAGTGATCAGAGGCATTTGCGTGGGATGCGGTCTGGGGTCGCTGAGCGCGAGGCTGTCCGCAACGTGCTCTTTGTGTTTCTGGCGCGAGCTTCCCGGCATGTAATCGTCTTCCGCGCGCTTGACGTACGCAGCATCAACCATGCCCTGACCCGGCAATGGTCGAGGCGGCAAAGCATGTATATTTGCCTTCTTCTTGGGCTGCGTCTTCGGCCGTCGTGGTACTTCACTTGTGCCTGTTTCGTTGCGGCTTCCTACCGTGCTGGGTCGAGGTGCTGCAGACGCTGCCACATCTCGACGCCGCTGGTTGAAGCTCGAGATGAACTCCAGGCTCTTCGCGTCGTCGCCGAGCAAGTTCTTGAGATGATCGGCCGCTGCGTCTTTGGGCAGTGACTCGGAATACGAGATGATCTGCTGGAGGGACTCGTCATCAATTGGCAAAAGCTGCTGAAGTCGTGGCAAAGCCCAACTGTGTAGGGCGGATGCCATTTGCGGCAGAGACTCGAAAGACTCTCGCTTCAGTAACGATGTTCAAGTGCAGTCGGTGCAAAAAGGCGCCTTAATACTCGTCGGAGCTGCAGTGATGTCTTCGGGATGCGTACGTGTAATTGCCCTTCACCGTTGATGACAGTATGATGGCGAGGAGAGGAGGGTCTGGGCTGGGCCGGCGCGGGAAGAGGCGCTCCTGCTGCTCGCAAAACAGAGAGAGAGAGGCACTGGGCGGACCGCACATGGAGAGGTCCGTACCGACAGTTCAAGACCGAACACGAACCTCAACTGAACCTCACCTCATTCTTCGAGATCGGTCATGAGCGAGAAACGTCAGCAAGAAAAGGTGGAATCGAGCGACAGCGTTTCTGCATCGTACAAAGCCACTAAGGAATCACACTAATCGCTCCTTATCGTATCCGTTGCCAGAATCCGCTCTCTTTCTTTGCATGCACAACGTCCGCTTTCTGGAGCGCAGCAGGAAATCACTCACTCAGGTGTTCGAACATGTGCGCTCGGCAGGGAAAAGACGATAGCCACCCAATGCTGCCCCAGTAATGACAGTCGCTCGAATGCGGCCGTAGAAGAAACACGATAACCGCCCATAAGAGAGAAAATGCCCGACGAGAACATCCGTGTATCGCGCACAGCCAGTCCGCGACGCCTGGGGTATCGCAGAATAGAGATGCACCGAACCAACCATCCCGAACAACACTACGGAGCCTGCTCCTTGCCGTCGGGCTTCAAAATCTCAACCTGAACGCCGACATCCTTCACGTGGCCGTTGCGAAGGGCCTCTTCTCTCCTCTCGTTCGCGCCCGCGATACTAGAAGGGTCATCCTTTTCTGCTGAACCAGTCAGCTACCATCACTCATTACTTTGGTGCTCGGGTCAAAGCTGAAAGCATGCTGCTGTCAGTCGAGCTGCGCCCGTCCTTTTTCGCTTGACCAGCAAGCTCATTGGTCTTGGCGCCAGGCCGTTGACCATTGGGCGCCGCGGTCGCGAGAGGTACGCGAGTCTCCTGTTCAGGTGCACCGTAATGTGATGAATGCGGAGAGGAAGATGCGCGCGAGGCTTCGTAAGCGTACGGACTCTGCGGCTGCACATGAAGTGGTTGGGTGGGAGGTGGCGTGAAATAATAAAAAGGAGTAAGCAACGCACCAGAAGCATTCGGGTAAGGATACTGTCCTTGCGACTGGGCGCCAGGATTTGGTGGGGGCAGCGTCGGAGTGTGCGGCTCATCGCTGGGACGCTTCGTGCCAGCATTCTGTCCTTGGCCATGCTGCGGCTGCTGATACATCTGCTGCTGCTGGTAGCCCTGTGGTGGAGGCGGATACTGTCCTGGTTGTTGCTGCTGGCCGCCTTGCTGAGGAGCGTACGGGTCGCGATTGTTATGCAGAGGCTGACCGTACGCGCCGTACAGCTGCGTATTTGGTGGCGGGTTCTGGCCACGGTATACGGTGTGGGCGGGCACGAATGCCTGCGTCTGAGCACTGACGGGTGTGAAGACACACTCCTGTGAGAATCTGACGCAGTTGGTACACCGTCCGTCCTCAGATTGATCGAAGCCAGAGCAGCGAATCTGCTTCACGATTAGAAAGAAAGGCGCAACGGCAGATTGCCATTCAATCCGACTTACCTTGCGTCTGCGGCAATATCGACAAGCAATGGCAGTCCTCTGACGCGGAGCTGGTTGAGCGGGAGGATAAGCCATTTGGGGGGCCTGCTGGTAAGGCGGAGGGTACATGGCTTGCGGTGGCGGAAGCGTTGCGCGGTACTGATCGGGATGATTTGGCTGCAACGTCGCCATTGGAGGCTGTTGCGAAGGCGCCTGCGTAATCACGGGCAACTGTTTGGAATCATCTTCGTCAGTACTTTCGGCGGAAAGTGCGGGATCAATGTGCGCGCCCATAATAACGATGTGTGGAGGGTGTTGCAAGTGTGTTGTGTGGGAAGAAGATGTGAATGGACGAGGCAGGGTTCAGAAATCAAGATGGAGGAGAAGAGGAGAGCGAGCGAGGGCGCGATGCTGATTGCGTAAGGGTAGAGCTGGTCACGGCGCTTGGCATTCTGCAGTCTGCAGGCAGGCTCGCGACAAGCGACAAAGCCCCAAAATTTTGGTGTAACTTACCTGATTCGGCTGCCTAGGCTGTTGGTATTGGCCGTTGGGTGGTTGTGGCGACCATTGCTGTTGCTGTTGCGGTTGCTGGTTGGGTTGCGAAGTTGGAGGGTTCTGGTTCGGATTCCACTGTCCTCCAGGCTGCGTCGGAGAGCCGTACATGATGTCGTGGTGTGACGTGGTTTGGGGGTGGGCGAGGTGCGGGTCGGGTGGATTGATGGTATTAAAGCAGCAGAGGGAGGAGCGTCTGGTGTGAAGGTTACACAGAGTAGTCCAGAGAGGAGCGGGCCGGAGCAGCAGGCGCGTTGCTGCAAGGAGTGTCCGGCAGATGCCTGTAAACGCGGGCTGGGTGACACAAAAGAATGAGTGCTGCTGCTGATGGAGCGAGGCGAGGCGAGGCGCGGCGCGCGAGAAAAGGCTTCGAAGCAGAAGAAGACCAGAGTGAATCCGAAAGACTGGGAGCGTGCGATGCAAGTGGGGCGCTCCCGAAGAAGGGTGCGTGATGGGCGAGGGGCGAGGGGCGAGGGGCGATGGGCGATGGGCGAGGGGAGTGTCGGAGCTGTGACGAGACGAGTGGTTAGCAGACGGGAGCGCGCACCAGAGTGGTAGTGCTAGACAGACAACAAGGCCGAGCAGCAGAGGCAGAGGCAGACGCCGGCGCAGGCGCAGGCGCACAGGCGCAACGCGAAGACTATCAGCTGCCGACGCACGCACGCTGCACGCACGCACGCCCGCACGCACGCACACACGCAGTCGTTCCCTTCCCTTCCCTTCGCTCACCACCTGCAGCGCCCGCTCACGCTTACGCTCACGCTCGGCGAAGGTAGAGACGGGCCTCTGGAACGCTGGTGCTGGTGCCGCTGCAGTCGTGGCGACTGCGGGACTGCTCCTTCGGCGCTGCTGACCACCCACCCATGATGCGGACCGCCCCAGCAGCAACTGCGCAGCTGGCCCTGGCGACCCTGGCGGGCTGCTGGCTCTGCCACTGCCACTGGCACTGCCCGGCCGCCCGAACTTCCTGGCCCTGGGCCCTGGGCGAACACTGACAGCGCGCTAGTCTCGTCTAAGTGCAGTAGCAGCGCTGATGCTTGCCGAGGTCGCAGCGCGACTGGCCCACATCAGCCGCTGCAGCTCCCGCTCTGTGGCACTGGGAGGTCCAGCAGGCGGTCACCGCCGTCTGCCGCCGCTGATTGGCCCGCTGCCCGTGCGAGCCAGAGGCAAACGCGGAGTCGCGCACAAGCGAGATGATGCGGCACGCGCACTGCGCTACACGCAGCAGCGCGCCAATCACCGCGCTCGCACCCCCGGTCGATCGCTCGCTCCGCCCGCCCGCCCGCCCCCATTCCCTTCTGTCGCGTGGCATCCCTGGACGGACAGCGACATGACGCTGCGCCGGCCAAAGAAAGTGGGTGTGCTTACCTGATGCTGATGCGCGCCGTCGACTCTCGTCTCGCCCACTCGAGGTGACGAGTCGCTTAGTAGTGCCCCACGCACTTGCTCGTGTCGTCGGTGCAAATTCAGCCTGCCCTGCCTTGCGCGTGCCGTAGTAGAAGTAGTGGTGGTAGTGGTGGTGGTGGTGTCCGGAGCCTACCGCCCAATCAGCGATTTTAATTTCTCGAAAAATGCATTGGCCGACGGTGACACGATGACAGGCCGTCGAGGCGAGCCGTCTTGACGTCATGGCAGAGGACAGACTCACCGGGTGAGAAGAAAGGGCTGGGCCGCGAAGGCGAGCGCGGTACGATGCAGACGCACACTGAACCGTCAAACTTTGCGAAGCAACCAATCCTGGCCTGGCCTGGGCATGCCGCATGCGCTCTTCCCGTTTCTGCCGCCCGGCCGTGATGAACCTTATGGGCGACTCTCCGGAAGCTTATGCTGGCCGACGTGTTGTTGGAGTCTGGAGATGGTGCTTGCTGGTCTGCGACCAACACGCGAGGCGAGGGCAGGTGCGAACTGGGCCAAGAGTGTACGGAGGCAGCGGCAGCGGCAGCGGCAGCGGCAGGAGAATGTCTAGTTGCAGTTCAGCAAGCACCACTGATCGTCTCGGAAAAGAGCATATCTACCCACGCAGACGGAGACTTGGCGGCACCTGAGAATGAGGCACTTGGATATTCACTCGGGCTGTGTCAACCACGTCGATGCCGACACTGCGATTTGCTCCTCCGAGTCCTGGCAGCACGTCAAGAACAGAGTCACTGATGACCAGAGGATTGCGCGGGACAACGCAGCAGACAGGCTGCTTTTATATGCCCTTGCGAAGCGAAGCACTAGGCATGCACATCGGCATCGACAGAACGAGCGGCTCCAGTCCCATAACGGAAAGACCCCATCCATGCATTGGAGCTACGACTTACGATCCATCGGCTTTTCGACCACCATGCATCTCTCCACATCTCCCAGATAACTACCTGGTTAATGCTCTATTATGCTCTGACATGCTCAGGACCCCATCCCGGGAGCACACATGCACAACGAAACGGCCCGTCTATTCATCAAGCGCCGTCATACACAGCCTTGGATGCTTGTGCATGAGCGCCTTTCTCGCAGAAATTCGATATTCTTGACCTCATCTCCTCTACGCAGGGAACAACTTCCCAGACCGATGTGGTGCCAGAGTCATGAGCTAAGGCATGCTTGGGTAGAGAGCTCGCATGCCAGACCTTGACTCTATCGACCCTGATGAACCAATTCGACCGTCTCTGCGACACGACCGCTGCCGCACGTCGAGGCAAGGCATGCAGTGCTGCAGATTCACCTACATACATACATCGGCGCGGCGCGTGCCCGACGGCAGCTGCGGTGTCTGTGGAGTACTCCGTCCATCCGACCAGTCTCGCAAGCTGCAACAAGCCGAACAAGGCATACGACGTACGGCATACACGTTCAAACATGCCAGCAAGGTAGAGGGGCCGGCGCGCTGCCGGTTCCAGGGTACCCGGAGGGTACAGGTATACCATTTAAACATGCTGGTCTGCCACCTACTACTTTCCGATATGACACTCGTCATTGACGCCCAGACGACTTCCTTAGCCTGGACACGCCGGCCTCTCAACACTCTGCGATCCCACAGCTCGCAGCTGTACTGTAAGTTCTGTAAAACTCTCAACAGAGCTCGCTGTCCGATCACTAGGATGAACCTCGTTTACTCTACGTGTGGCTTGCAGGTCAGGTCGTTCGACCTTTCAAGGGCACGCACCTTCGGCGCGGCACGGTGCCCGCTGACCGAAGGAGTGGACTCTCACCCAAAATGAGAGGCTGGTCACCCACAGAGCTCCCTTTTTTTTTTTGCAGAATCGCCGATCTGGACCTCCTTCCGACCACTCGATCAAAATCACGTGTTGAATTCTTCATGCGGGCAGCCGTGGCGGCCGGCTGCAAAAGCAGGGAATCGGCTGTCTTTTCGAGCTTGGACCCTTGAGCCCAGCCACTCACAAGTAGGTGACCAGGTGCCGTCGGCCACGGCCAAGAGGATACATGGCTGGAGCTCATTGGTTTGTGGTTGGCACAAACATGTACAGAAGAACGATAAAGGAATTAAGCGGCATTTTACGAAACGTGGCTCCATATATCCTTTCGCATTTTCATCGTCCTCGTGGTCGTAGGGAGCAATGGTGGTACACAGGGCTGCCAGCTGGTCACCGAATTATCAATGCGGCATGCTTGGACTGATGATGAGGGACTGCTTTCAATATACTGTCCGGGATGGTCTTAACGGTCAGGTAAATAGGGACTCGTTCTGGTCCTAGCTAGGAGAGAGAGAGAGGAAGTAACTTGAGTGTGCGTCAATGATAGATAGTCAAAATTATTGCTGGCGGTGAATCCGTCCCCCAAGCCGTGGGAGTATCTAATGCTGGTCAGACCTTTGCTATTCGTCTTCGTCTTCGTTATCGTCCTCGCGTTCGTGCTCCGCTTCATCTTCATCAGTCTCATTTTCTGAAGCCTCGTCAGGCATGACTACCGAGTTGCAATATGTGATCTGTTTGTAATATGAAGGTCAGCATGTGGAATGTCAATTTCATACCAAACGCCAGCACATGCGGCGGCGTTACATCACAAGGTATCGTTGCGGTCGTGGCTCGGCCTTGACGATCTCGCAAGGCGTGTACAGCGACGCGTCGGCCGCAGTACCATGGTTCGCCCAGAACCGTGACGCAGAGCACGGGGAGCGCCGCGCCACGACGACAAGGGAACGGGTACACTTACCCAAGGAGCCAGTGTCTCCATTAGCTGTGCAATTCGGCGAAAGCCACTCTCTCCCAAGACCTCATCGTCGTTCAATCTGCGAACCATCGTATAGTTCTTGAGGCGCAGAAGAGCAATGTCGGGGTGGTCTCCGTCGTAATCTGGCGTGCGCGGATCAGCATGTAGATTGGTCATTGAATAAGGAGAAGGCGAGAAGGGGGCAATGAACGAAGCCGAGCTGGGCCAAGTGCGTGATGGGCGTGTTGACTGTGCAGTCAGAAATTAATGTCAGTCGCACAGCAGAGATGATTGCCATGCAGGGCTGCGGTGACCATTCTGTGTGATGACTCCGCAGGACCGCAGCGCCGCTCACAGCTGCCAGGCTAGTAGCTGTGTCGTTTCAGCTTGGTGGACAGCACCAGGAGATCAGGAACGAGAGGCCTCTTCGTATACTCATGATCACGGGCAATCGCGCGTCCAATCTGTCCAAAAATGCGCTGTCGTGGTGACTTGCAAACAATCATGAGTCATGACAGTAAACCAAGATCCGAAGTAGCTGCCAACAGCGATGGTACCGGGAGGGCGTCTGAGACGGCTTCGGGTCGGTCCCAATTATGCTTCCGCGGTCGACTTAAGTCTTTCACCATTTCCACGGCTGAGACGCGTCGTCGACTTCGCTGCATCTTTGTATGGTTCTCTAGAAACAAAGATCACCTTATCAAATCCTTTTCGATCCGCCGTTTCTGCCATGCAACGATGTTTCGACGCAAACACGACGGTATGCGCCATCTGATATTGCCCTGATCCACGGTTGGATCGCGCCCGACAGACGACTTCGAACTCCCATCGCACAATCGACTCGCAACGCAATGTAAACGCGAGGGAAACTCTGAAAATTTGCTTGGAAGAGGCCGGGAAGAGACATAAATCAGGTACTCACCTTTTGGTCTTGTTTTCAGCGCGTTTTCGGCATTGCTTCTCACAAACTCTTCGACGACCGCCTTCTCGCTCTGTGCCGCGCCCGAGAGGAATTCTCTGCGAATGTTGTCATGCAGCAGGACACTCTTCAGTCGTCTGGGTTGACGGTCGATAGCTCTCCTCATTGCGCGAGTTGACGCGGCCTCAGGAGACCAGAGGCCACCTCCTAAAATACCAATCAGCATGCTTGATCCGCACTCAAAGGCTAGCACCAGCGCGATCATCAAACGCCGTAGACCGTCCCGAGATCCCCCTCTGTCAAAATCGAAGCACGAGTAACACCTTCAAGCCGATTGGCAGTGGCTCAGCAATGTCAAATGTTCATGCTCGCTCGGCTGTTCTCGTACACGTCCTCTTGGCAAGAATCCAGACATCTAGGTCTCCCGGCACAAAGGAACTGCTCCTAGGTGGGCATAATTTGAAAAGTCGTGCTCTGATCCTCTGGCCCATAAGAATGCGGATACTGAGCCTTGCGGGTCGGATGTGCTTGGAGAGAGGAAGACTCAAACCACCATCGAATTGCAGGTACGAGTCCAGAATTCGACAACGAACTGCAGATCCCTGCGTGGTGACTGTCGACAATCGACTGACTTGAGAAACCGAGCCTCCTGCGCCGCCGACCGAGAATCCGGGCCGATCGAGGCGTTCCCTCGCGTCGTCAAGCGCCAGATAGCTACCAGATATCCTGAAGACTTGACGACAGCATTTGCGTTGTCTACGAGCCTTCGCGACGCAGCGGGCACCGTAAGAGCAAGGACACTCGACTGCGCTGAGCTTCGCAGCATGAGGAGACTATATATACAGACTGCGGATCGCGCGTATACTCAACAGCCGGCAGATTCTTTGCCTGTACGGGACAGATTGTCAAGACCACATGAATCAGGACTCCTGGACGATACAAAGAGCGGTGACCAGACGGTTAGTGCACAGTCGGTCGCCTGTGAACAGCACTTTGCTGCGAAGGAGCAGCCAATAGCGAGCTCGTGTAAACTCAATGTGCAATGGCACGCGTAGTTTATGTTGCAGAGCAATTGGACATCACGACAACGGTTGTACTCACCTATGAGAGAATTGCCAGGAGCAATTTGCACATAGTAATGGGCGTAATTGCTTTTACGGCCGGCTCGTGACCTACGAATCATTCAGCTTCTGTGAAGGCATTGTGACAAGGTCGTGGCCCACCATGCGACGGAGAAATATGGCTGTGTCAGACTATCGTGTTAGCCACATTAACCTCATGCATGCATTGTTGTGCTGCGGCCAGGGCGGGGAGAAGACTCCCGGGCCCTCACGCAAAACTTTGACTTGCCTTGTACGGGGTGGGATCGTTAGAGAATCGCACATCTAGCAAGCTTTGTAAGTTTTTCGTCGTCGATGTAGTTGATCTGGGACGTGATGTGCTTACCGCGGTATATGCGGAAGATCTGGCCCAATTGGTGAGCAAGTCGCCTTCTTTGGAGATGTTGGGCAGCCATTCGAACCACTTACTACCTGCAGTGTACAACAAACCCTGGTCAGCGATTACCTCAGACAGCGCTAGAAAGATTGATTATCCACAACGCTTACGTCTTTCACAGGAAGCTCAGGAATCGAGTCGTCGATCCCAGTCAACTTTTCTGTCATTGCCTCTACAAAGGAGTGGAAGTCCTTCTCCGCTTGCCTGAATTCCGGGTCATTCACTGCAGTAACACCTCTAGGTTAGCAGGTCTCTTGAACTTCTCACTGCCGATAGCACAGTGAATGATCCGACTGGGTCTGATCCTAGAGCCTCGCCAATGAAGATGACAGGGCCTCTGCATTCTTCCTTGTAAAAGACAATTGATCCTCATGCGACCAAGTTCCAGCCGCATTGTGTTACGTTCGCAGATAGGGCTTGCTGCAGGTCTCCGAGGGTCCGCACTCGACAACGAACATGCTCAACGGCATATTTTGCAAGCCTGTAGTCACTGCGGACTTGAGTTGCGCTAGCAGGGCGACAAAGCGTCCTGTCTACATCCTAGGTGGCTTCACGAAATCCTTAGCGTGACGCTCCAAGATGACATATTGCGGTCAGTGTCGCTCTGGGTGACCTTTCGAGTTCCGGTGGGAGCGGCCATCGCAAGCTACTAGGTCGGAATGAATCGATGCCAGTAGTACGGTGCTAGAATCGGTGGTGTGAGCATCGGCAGAGCTTTCTCGGTGTCCCTCGCGTCGGCCGCGGGTCCATGGTAGTGCTATAAGGTTAAACAAGCTCCCAATAGAGCAGGAGTGATGGAAACCCGGCAGTGGAATCAATCTGATGTGTCGTGAACGCGAAATAGAACAGAAGCACTCACTCTTTAGCCATTCTCGTCTGTTGTTGGCCTTGAGATCCTTGAGAAACAAGAGTGTGTTTGGATGAATGGTCTCGTTCGCATACGCAACTTTCCCGGCAGGTCTAGCCTTCGGCCTCTTTTGAATGACTTCGACACCAGGTTCAAAACCAGTCGTTGATTCAGGCTTCCAGCCAGCACCAATCTTCTTGCGAGCTGATGCTGCGGACTTGCGATTCTTGGCATATCTGCCATTTGCGGTGTCTTCATCCTCGATATCGAAGTCCTCGTCATCCGGCGATTCCTCGGAAGTAGATTTTCCATCATCGACGTCGACATCCGATGACTCCGGGGCATCTGAATGACTGTCGGCTCTGTCTTCGTCGGTGTCGTGATGCTGCGAGTCGGCTCCTTGGAAGTACTGGCTCTTTGTGGGCGTAACATCAGCAGCCTTTGGAGCCTGCCTCGGGCGTTTAGTTTTCGAGTCTGCCGGACCAGAGCCCGACGCCACTCTCTTGTGTTGCGCAGACGGGTGCGATATGCGTTGCGATCTGCGTGCCATGGCGGCTGCGCCAAATGCTGCGATGTGTCGAAAAAGCAATGTCAGTCGTTCCTCCTAGAGAGTGTGCGACTGCTGTCGGTCGCCCAGGTGCTACGCCGGTGTACGTCTAGGACAGAAGTCTCGTCTACGGCCGTCTGTATGTGCATGACGCACGGTGAGGCGAAGAGCGCGACGACTCTCCTTTACGCCTTCTGCCGCCGGAAGCGCGTCTGCGCTAGATAGCCGCGGCCGCGGTAGGCGCCGCTCTACCAACTTTACAGCGTCTTACCACATCGGAGTGAAAGTGACTAGGGTCGGACCGCTGAATAACAAGTTTCTGTTCGCTGTAATCCATGAGGAGCAAGGGTTTGGGGAATACCCACTTTCACTCCGATGTGATCAGACGCTGTATTTACTCGGTGAATTTGGTCTGTGCTGTGCTATTGGACTTGACATATGTGACCCATGCAAATTGTGTTTGACATGATATTGAAAGCACTCAACAGCTGGAAAATCCTCTTGAAAATCTAGCGCGCATGCAATAACGTAAGCGAGGTGTTCCTCGTGGTGGCTCGACCCAGTAAGGAAAAGGTTGCGGATACAAAAGACGCTCTCTCCTCGCCGTGGTATCTGATGGTCTTATCAAATCGCATCAAGTGAAGTGTTGATTGTGGAATATGAGACCAAACTCTTCCGCTCCAATCAGCAGTTGCATCCGCCAGGACCTCCCGATGATGTTCCTGGATCTTGTCGTGATCCCAAATCGACGCCACCTGGCCTGCCGGCTGCTCCACGCATCCCTCGCTGTGTGGCTTGCTCGATCGGCAATTTCTTCGCAATTGCTGTGAAAAGCTCCTTGACATTCTCTGCAGTCTTGGCACTGGTTTCGAAGAACAGCAGCCCTGCCTCTTTTGCATAGGCCTCCGCATCGGCTGTAGAGACTGCGCGTTTGTCGGGTTGCTCGGCTACCAGATCTGCTTTGTTACCGGCCAGAGCAATGATAATATTCTCATTTGCTTGTCGCTGAAGCTCCTTCACCCACGCTTTCGCCTTCTCCAAGGACGCCTGAGTGCTCTGTCAGCAAGTCGCTCAGCTGGACGAGTGTTTGAAGCGAGGTAATACCGCTTGCGTTATATCATAGACCACCACTGCACAGTTGGCATTTCTGTAGTACATTGGCGCCAATGACTTGTATCGCTCCTGACCTGCTGTGTCCCATATTTCGAACTTGACTGTTGTCTGTTCATCCAATGCGATTGTCTGTGTGAGAAATGCGGCGCCGATAGTTGATTCTCTGTAGTCGTCGAATTGGTCCTAAAAATCATGGTCAGCTGCTGAGGCCATGGCAGCTCGCTCATACCAGGCGGCAGCGTACCTTCACGAATCGCAGTACCAGAGAGCTCTTTCCGACGGCGGACTCGCCTGAAGAGGGTATTAGCAGCATGCAGCGACCTTACATGGCCAATCCCATCGGCTTACCCAGCAAGACGAGCTTGAACTGCGCAAAGCGTGCGCCGCCAGGCCTGGCGCTTTGTCTGGCCGCCATGAGGGGTGGAGGAGACCGCGGATAAGATCGAGCTCGGAATCGCTAGTGATCGGGGAGGAACAGACTGGCGGAGTGGAATCGCGGGCGGGCGGGTGAGGGTACGGTCGCGGTATAGTGGTGTTGTTGGGTGACCTTTGATTGTCCAGAGAGAGGTTCATGGGTGGACGTGCTCTGCACGTGCCTGGATTGACGTAAGTGCAGTTGCCAGCATGACAACCACCGCCACACACCCCTCAGCCCTTGCATCTTGGTCTGGCTCCGACACTCCTTGATCCGAGCTGCAGACACCACTCAACCATCACAGCAACGCCAATTCCCGGGTAGACGCACGCGATGAGTGCTTCTCTCCCGTTCAGGGACATCAACGTACACGCGTCGTCGACATACTACGCCTTCTCCTCGCCATCATCACCAAATGCGCCGACCCTGGTGGTAGATCGACCGTCTGGAGACATCAGGCTCAATGACGGCAAGATCACAGGAGGCCACCGCGTGTCCAGCATTTCTGGCATTCTCGGTATCATCAAGTTGCGCCTAGGTATGGTCACTCGGTGGCAGCGGACTAGCTGTAATTTGCTAAGCTTCGACGTGTAGATAGCTATGTGATCATCATCACCAAGTCGCAAGCTGTCGGCCGCCTGAAAGGGCATCAGATCTACAAAGTCGTGTCCACGGAATTCCTGCCTCTGCGAGAGCGCCAAGTCCACGACCAAGACGAAGATACATACCTGAAGTACTTGAAGATCCTCCTCAAGACCGGGCCTATGTACTTTTCGTACTCATTCGACCTGACCAACAGCTTCCAAAGACAGGTCCGAAGCAATGCAGACGAGCCGCTGTGGCAACGTGCGGACGACAGATTCTTCTGGAACCGCTACATATCTTCTTCCCTCATCGACTTCAGATTGGGAAAGGCCGCGGGCAGACTTTCTCGTGGCGCTCAGCCCGCTGTGGACCCTTATATCCTACCCGTCATGTATGGCATGATGAGCATCACAAATACATCCATCAAAGGCAACGGGCTCACCTTCGTCCTGATTACGAGAAGATCCAGACACCGAACAGGAACACGATACTTGTCCCGGGGCATTGATGAAGATGGCCATGTATCGAATTACAACGAGACCGAGCAATCAATCATTCTTAACGACAATGCTTCCTCGGGGATGATGAGCTATGCCGGCGATCGCGGCTTTGCAAATGGAAAGGCAGTCAGTGGTCCCGAGACACAGGTCCTGTCTTATGTTCAGACACGAGGCAGCGTGCCTGTATACTGGGCTGAGATTAATACTCTGCACTATACTCCAAAGCTGCAGATTCGTGGTGTGGAGGCTGCTGCCAATGCTGCAAGGAAGCATTTCGATGAGCAGATTCGACTGTATGGCGAGAACTACATGGTCAACCTGGTGAACCAGAAAGGCCGCGAAATGCGCGTGAAGGATGCGTACGAGCAGATGGTCAAGATTCTCCAGTCCACACCCCAGGAACATGTTGAATCAGATCGCAGGACGAGCGAGAGATTTGACGTGATCGAACCAGGAAACCAGCAAGGCTGGTACGACCATCTTCATTACATCTACTTCGACTTCCACAATGAAACTAAGGGTCTCAAGTGGTATCGAGCCCAGCTTCTGCTCGACCAGTTGAAGGATGGCCTGACCGAGGGAGGTTATTTCCATGGCATTGATATGCCTTCAGGTGGCGTCGATGTACGGCGGCGACAGACCGCAGTAGTAAGGACAAATTGCATGGACTGCCTGGATCGTACGAATGTAGTACAGTCCATGTTAGGTCGCTGGGCTTTGACTCGGATGCTCATCGACCTCGGCCTACTACGATCAGGAGAGACAGCACAAGACGACCAGACTTTCGAGCATCTCTTTCGCAACGTCTGGGCTGACAACGCCGACGTAGTATCGAAGACCTACTCTGGTACGGGTGCCCTCAAGACAGACTTTACAAGGACTGGAAACCGCACGCGCGCTGGCATGCTGCAAGACCTGAGCAACAGTTGTACGAGGTACGTACGGAACAATTTCGCCGACGGGCCTCGCCAGGATGCTTTCGATCTATTCCTTGGATACTATTCACCTGACACAGCAGGCATCGGCTCACTGCAGCAGTTTGCGGATCGCAGGCCGCTGGCTGTGCAGGCCGTCCCTTATGTGCTTGGTTTCTGTGTGTTTTTCATCGTTGTCAGCGCCAGCACAACGCGTCTACCAGACTCCACCGTATGGCCTCTTAGACTGTTCACATTCTTTAGTCTGGCGGTAGCAGGGTACGCGGGTCGATTCATGTGGAACTACGGGACGTTATACGTAAGTACATCTTACCCGTTCTTGACATGTTCTGACAACTATCAGGTCAACTGGCCTAAACTCAACACTCCCCAGTGGGCAATCGAAGCATATCAAGACACATTGGAAAAGGTGACGAAAGATCCGCTGCTTGGCCCATTCATAGGCGGTGGAAAAGGTGATGCGCGGCTCGGAATCCTTGAGGAAGGCAAGAAGAGACGCGAGTGAAAACCTTATTGTTTTTTTTCCTCTTGACATACAGCGCTAGCTCTGAACCGGCATCATTTTGCATTGTACCCGTCAGGCCATTCTACGTGCGCCGACAGAACTCACTGGAAATAGCATGGCGAATGGCGTATTCCAGGATAATGAGTATTAAAAGCTTCCCCTTCAAGTCCGGTCTCTGTACTTACACGAAATGGACCACTCGGTTGGCCTGGCCTGTCGCGCTGAAGTGAAGTCACAAGGCGCCAAGCCGCGACTTTTTCGACATTGTTGACATTGTAAGCCGCGACCAAGTCATTCTGGCCCATGCTACACTTTCATTGGCTGCGACTAACAATACGACAGAATGTTGCCAAATATAGCGACACGATTGATCTTTGGAATATAGTGTGGTATACCTCTTGAATCTTCTCCGTTGTGGGGATGCTGCTGCCTCGGACCGGCGATACGAGTTGCAATGATGCATAGTAAGTACCTAGCTATTACGAGCTGTAGTGATACGCAGTAAGTACTATATACCTAGCTAGTACGATTTGCAATGATGCGCTAGACTGCTCTGGTATCTTTACCCATTTTGCCTCACGGAACATGCAACCCGGCGCTGCCGATGATCATCAATCTTTGCTGCTATTGACACCGGTGTGAGGTCTGCCAGGGTATATGGTGGTTTTATTATGTAGTGCAGTGGTCGTATACGAGATGTCGTATTAATGCTCCATACGCATGTCACATATTGCTGCTTGCCACCTAGATGAGTACGGCCTCAATGTCATGTCTCGAAGAGATTGGCATATAAGACCGTCCTTGCATCCTTCGAAAAGACCATTCAGCATCACGCCTTTAAACCGCCAAAATACCACTTCGCGAATCACACGCGGCTTTTTACGACCTCATCGTCCGTTAGCACAACAAAATGAAGTCTTCATTCGTGCTCTCTTTCCTCGCTGCTGCAGTGGCAGCTCTCCCAGCACCGCACGCCTACGAAACCGAGGAAGCCACGACATGTCCCGGCCTCGATGGTGAACAGGCTCTCAGCAACAACAATCGTGCATACAAACTGTCTTGCCACAAATGGGTCGACAGTAACGCTGTGCTACGCATCACCGAGACCGAGGTTGGCTACAAAGGCTGTCTCACAGCCTGCGATGGTACAATGTAAGCATTCTCCAACTAATAATGGCATGTATGTAATGAATGCTGACTTGTTTCTCAGCGGATGCGGCGTTGTCCAATATATCGCTACCGACGAGGCTCAGACAAAAGGATCATGCACAATATTCCCCAAGAATGCCACGGAGACTATCAAAGATGGCTCCAGTGATTCGTGGACTCTTGCCGTGCCTGTTGAGAAGACACCCAAGGTATTCGGCGGCATTGCGTTGCGATCTGCTAGTCCTATTCACTTCGCCAACGTGAACGCAGCGGAGCTTCAATTCTTTCTCAACAAGAACACATCGACTTATTGCCCATCTGGTGTGGAAGGTCTTGACTGCTCGGCATTCAACAGTAACCAGACGATCTTCACCCAGGCCGTTAATTCGACTACGCTCTCTCTGGATGTGACGGTACCTGGTGGCCAGCAGGTCTATGTCACAGATTGTGACGAGAAGAGTGGTCAGCTTGCTGGTGAGCTGAAGTTCACTCAAGCTCACCCTGCTTTTACTCCAGGTCCAGCACTCTATGAGGGTTTCACAATCTCTGCTGCCGGTGATCTTCAATTCGAGAACAAGGACTGGTTTGCTTGTCCGATCAATGAACCCAACAGTGGCTACGGTATTTGGTCCGTGGCTCGTCTAGAGGGATCCAATGCCGGTGAAGGTTGTCTCGGCTTCTCATTTCGCGTCGTAGAACTCGACGAGAAGGTCAAGACTGCGTGGCAGTACAGCTAGAGCTCGTAATGGATCGCTTGAAGGGACTCTGATTGCATGGCGGGGGTGCATTGCATTTGATTTGATCTGTGGATTTTGTATATAACGTTACGATTCTCCTTGATGTTCTAGAGATTGTATGATAATTGAACTTATTTACATCCACGACAAGGCTTTCGTGTTTGGCTCAACTGATTCAAAAGACGTCTTGTCTAAACAATCGTTCGGATGGTTGACATGGTGATACCAGTTGGCCAAGAATTCATAGGGGGACGGCTGCTCCACAAGTACGACGGTTCTCAACGCAAAAGCTCTTTGCAAAGATTAACAAACATCGAGGTAAAAGGTAGTGGCATGACCAAGTTGTGAGCCTCGGGACAGCTCATTCCCGCTACGGAGCAAAATACAACTTTCACGTAGCGTTCCAAACTTCCAAAAGCTATACCATCGTCCCCTTACACTCTTTTGATACAACTCCATGGCAAAAAGAGCTGGACGCGCTGGGAATTGAACCCAGGGCCTCTTCCAAGACCGAATTGAAGATATCAAGAGCTTGCTAAGGAAGAATCATACCACTAGGCGATGTTAGTTGGTGTATATGCATGTAAATTGCTCGGAGTGAAGCTTACCTAGACCACGCGCCCCAATTGGATGAATGTCTCGCAACCAACGCTGTAATAGTAAGCTAGAAACAAGGAGCTCAAATGGAACACTAAAGCAAGGTGTATGGAGCTTGGTAAGCAAGGGGTGTTGATCGAATTCTGTATGCCAAGCCTCGCTTAATTTAGCGCCGGACGAAATGAATGAACACTTTTCGCAAGCAAGGCAGGTTTACCGACTCGTGGTACACTGTAGTGATGGGGTCCACCAACCTGTGGATGGTGTACACGCTCTATAATACACTATGTATACGACCCTTTCAGGCGGGCTCATTGTGTATACAAAAGGCGGAGTTATCGGATACGCTGATATCCCGCCTACAACCCGCCAAGCTGCTTAACATTGCTCGGATATCCTAGTATTCGGGCATACCCGATGTGTATCCATGGGTGTACACCAGTATAATATACGATGTACACAACCTCCATTTCTCAGGGGCTGTAAACCCACAACACTAGTACACTGTACAAAGTAGTATCTGTTCGCTGGGCTGGGAACAGACACATGTGTGAGGTCGGAAGCCGCCAAGGCGGATGGATGCGGCAACGAGTTAGTGCTTCTAAACGAGCAACGAAGCAGCCTCACCAGCGAGGCTGAAACCTGCTCCAAGATTTCAGTAGACGATTCAGTTGATCTTCATGTACAGCAACACTTGCGACGACAACACACGACACCATAATTCGCGTAACCAACTCCTAATAGTCTCCTATAGCACAACTTGCAGATGCTTATTACAGTTGGTTGTCAGACTGACTTTAATTCCTGGCCGCTCATACTTTAAGCCTTGTCGAAACCTAGAAGTCTACCAACCAACTCCACCTGTTCTTAACAACAGAACGCGTACTCTCTATACGCGACAATGTGCGTAGCATACAATTCACCATGGCCACTCCAGAATACCTTACCCCTGTTTCCACCGTTCGCAGCAGGAGTGCGCCACCCAGCAGAATGAAACGACAACCTTCAAAGCGACTCTCAATCCTTACAACCGGAAGTCTACGGGACGAAGGCTCGGAGAAGTATTTCGAGAATTGTCTACGCGACCATAACGATTACGACCAAGCAAACGGCATCAGCAACGACGCGATCCTCAGAGCGAGACTGTCTAAGATCCAGAGTCCAAGATCATTCTTCAAAGTACCGGACCCCATAGTTTTTCCGATTCCCGCAGAGAGACCTAAGCAAAGCTGGTGGCGACAGCGTCTGAAACTCATGAGCAGCTGCTTCCGGAAATTCCAAACAGTCTGTACCCATGACGAACAGGAAGCCAGCGGGAGGATGAGAAGTGGGAAGTTTTGATTTTCGACTTCCACAGGTATAGACTTCAAACAAATTGGAGGGCTAGGTCGGTTGGTGGGATTCAGGCATTAAGATTGACCTACTTTTTGAGACCAGAAACTTCCAGTTCCGGTCGTATTATCTTAGCAAATTGCAGTGATATTGGGCAGAGTTGCGATTGGTTTAGGAGCAAGTCGACCGGATTTGAACTATCGCGATCTTTGTGGCATTGTGTGAGCATATTATTCTTGCCATGACAGACCATTCACCCTCTGCCACACGCTGTTCTTAATACGTCGAATAATGTGCAGGAAAGTCACATCTCCAACTATCGCTGCGCGCCAGCAGTGTGTGCAGACTACCAATGGACTCTTGCGCATGCATTGCAAGCACTGATGGTACCTTTGTTGCGTCGCTTCATGGTGTCCAGTTCTGATGAGCGAACGCTACCACATGTTCGAGAATGGAGCTGCCGGTATCCTTGGCTGCTAGCAGTCAAAGTCGCTCGTCAGAGACGCCCTCATCATCGTGCTCGGCCAGGGCTGAATGTGCCCAACTGAATAGGGTGGCAGCCGAGATACTGGAATATCGATCCGCAGATGACGATCAATCGATAGAGAGCCTTGCCTTTCTGGACTCGAATTCAGGCTTCGGACGAAGATCTGTCTAGTCCTATGAACAGGCATCTTCTACATTAAGCGATTTCGAGATCCAGAATATGGTACCGCTTTCTGTCAGGGTACAGCTCATTTGAAGGACAGCAAGCTTGCCCTTGCGGTTTCGCTGACATCGATGACAGCTTCGTCAAGTCACGGCTGGAGTGCCTGTTTCCTCTGTGACTTCGGAAACGGCATCGAGTAGCTGCTTCCGTGTGTCAACTCGTTGCGCCCGTGGTGTTCTCGTCTCCTGTATCAGCTTTCGCATGCACCTAACCATGCTTTCTCGCTCACTGGGCTCCGCCTCCGCGCTTCCAGCCCATCTGATCTTGCAATCTGCATCGACTAGATAGACGAAGCCCACTTTGTCGTTCAAGATACCAATAGCTTCTTTTACGTCTTCATCCACGCCGCGACGGACCATGAAGTACTTGCGCTGCTCTGCTTTTGATCTCCCACGCCTGAGATTAGCCTGGAAAGCCTGCAACAGCCACCACCGGAGAATATTTTCCTCGCAGTTGATCCATACCTGCTGGACGAGGTCCTGGTTTTGATGCAAAACATGATGCAGCTCCGGATTCTGCTCTTTCGATATGAAAGTCTCAACCTGACCCTGCGCCCACGTGCTTGAGACGATGCTAACCAACGACACTTTGCCCTCCATCACATCACAGGTGTCCCTCCCGAAGCCGCCATAGCCGTCCTTTGGATCGCCTTTCTGCAGATCGCTACGAAGCGTCTTGCCGTAGAAGTTTGGAAACCATAGACTGACATCCGCTCTAAATAAGCGCTCATTGCTCCGAAAGATCTTGCCCTTGTAGAACCGCAGGTTGCTCCAATCTCTGAAATACGGCTTCGACATCTGCTGCGTCATCTTTCGTCTGCGTTCCAAATGCTTTTCGTAATTCACGAAATCACTCCGTTTCTGGCTGAGTGAGCGTGAATCAACGCCCATGTTGTCTCCAGGCCGTGGAGGCACGGGCATGCCGATGGGCCGTGACAGAGGCTGCGGTTCGAACTCTTCATCATCGTCGGACTTTCCACGCTTGAGAAATCCAGGTTGCGAATCTGCTAAGCGCCGAGCTACCAGCGGAGAAGACGAAGCTGCTACGTGAGGACGTGGAGGTGGAGGAGAAGGTCGCTCCGGCGTGGAGTCATAGTGTCGTCGGGAGGCCACACGAAATGCGAGCTGTTCCTGAAAGACAATCGCACGTAGCGAGCGTAATGCAAGCTGCGATGGTGCTTTCAATACCATTGGCGGCGGGGAGGGAGTAGCAATCCCATCGTGAATGCGAGAGATTCACATTCACATTCACATTCACATTTGACTGAGTTTCGGGAGAGCCCCACTCACTCCGCTCCTCAGAGGCCAACGTTCTTCTCCCGCACCACACACCGCACCCACTCCCATATGCATCACCTTCTATTATCGAAGTCCACTGTACGACTGCGATCACAGAATTTACAACGTCAACCAAAGGCTCGAACGACATCCATCTCTGTACTTCGATCTGACTCCCATCGCGTCGGACATCATGACACCATGTCGACGAGTGACGAGTGCGCCCGGCTATTAGGTTTATGGGAAACCCATCTCTCGAACTACGCGTGCCTGAGCCATGAGGCCCTTTTCACTACCATGGAGCCATAGATCTCACAACGCTAGCATGTCCTGGAAACTGAGATGGCCTTCTCTCGCGAGACATGCGCCCCCGCTGGTAGCAGTGTACTTGCACACCACCACACGGATCATGGTCTCCCCGAGGCACCGAGGCTGGAACTTGTAAGCTCTGTTCAGTATACTACGTCGTGAGCGCAGAAATCCTGACCCCTGGATTCAGATTCCTGATACCCTACTGCGTCAAGCTATATCTTCATTCGTGACAGGTTGAACATCAGCGAGAAGACCTGTGGTATATGGCGCCTCATAGTTGACAGACTGTTGCAACAATTACTGGTTTGCGACTGTCCATACATCTCCCGAATCGCTTCGAGACGGGGGAAAACGTAGTCCCAAGGGCGGACACATCGATCACTTACGACTTACGACGACTTGGAGGCCAGTTTGACTCTATTTTCGGAACCCACTGTTATCTTACAAGTCAATTCGACTGGTCTCGTGAGGATTCTGCAAGCTTGGAGCTTGGATCGGATCGGCTTTCTGTGTTGTCCGTCTGAGATTATTGGCTTCGGCTGACAGCCAATTTGAAATATGTCTTGAGAATTGCCAGACCACGGCAAGGTCTCTGCAGCAGCACTAGTATCTTCTAAGGACAGCCATGATGCGCATCCAGAGTTTCGGAAGCCTATCACGGCTTTGGGACCTCGCCAGTTCGCCAGTGCCTGTCCTGACGAAGCACTGCGCGAAATGAATGGTTACACAGGCAAGGCAATTCCTATTGTAGCCAGAAGTGATTGACAGTCGTACGTTACAGAGAGGCCTCCACTCTTGTCCTTTCAATTAAGATGACGATGCACAGCAAAGCGCCGAAGCAATGGAAGCAGAAGACATTCTGCAATAATATGGTCTTACGCAGGAAACGGGGACGAGTTGATGGAAGACCAAGATCCACGAACAATCAATCTCTGACACGACTAATCTATAAATGAACTTGTCGACGACCGGACCTCAACTATACCTACTCCATTCTCCAGAATGCGAGAGACAGAATGACAGATCTTGCTGAAGCATAGAAGATGGAGGGGCAAGTCAAGCGATGATGCCAGCTACAAGAATTGGTCAGAACAGGCAACAGCTCCGTAATGATCGACCAAGAAGCCGACTGGTTGCATGTGACAAACGATCCTTCCTAAGATTCCAAAAATGTCCTGCTCGGTGATAAGAGATCTGGCGCTCGCTCTCTTGCCTGCATGGTTGGTTGGTCCCCAAAGTTTGCCATCTGCCTTGTAACGTTACAGTTTAATGAAGCTTGGTTCAAGTGACATACATGTAACCAGGATCTCCCACTCACGCACCCTGTCACCGCGCGTGGCAGACTGGCAGTGTCTATACGTATACGAGGTTTGGTCTTATAGTGATCACCATCATTCTATCCTGATCGCTGCTCTATCCTGTCGCTCGCTGCATTGGCCGACGCCGGAACACTCAATGTTCGTTCCTCCGTTTAGGTCTTGTCCTTTACACCTGCATCCATCTCTATAGTCAGACTTCACTCCTGGACTCGTAAAGAGAGTTCACTCTTGTCACTCGTTTTCGCTGGTTTCGCTTCTCAGTCACTCGTTTCGTGTCCGACCGGACGGTCCTAGAGGGAGGATGCTTCTGCGATATCTTTCGTCGATCATTCTTTTGACCGTCACTTTCGTCAAACCGCATGAACACAAGCATGGCGAGAAGCGTGGTCACCAAAAGCGTCAAGGTTCGAGCTCAAGTCCATATCAGCAAGGCATATACGACTACATCGTTGTGGGAAGTGGGCCTGGTGGTGCACCACTTGCATGCAGACTTGCTCGTGCTGGCTTCCAAGTTCTGCTCATAGAAGCTGGCCAGGACACGAGTGGCTTTTTGGATACCCAGATTCCATCTTTTCATCCTCGAGCATCGGAGCTCCCGGAGCAGATGTGGGTAGGTCAGAGTAATGGGATGCATCATCGATGCCAATCACCAACACGCAGTACAGGCGTACAATGTCGAACGTCACCCATACCCAAGAGGTGATCAATACAATGATCCGAAGTTCCAATACCGGATACCGAATGATCCAAAGTATGGCAATGCGCTTTACAGTGGATACCCTCCCCCATATGGGAACTGGACCTACCTCCTCCCCGACGGCCGTACTTACGCTGGTCCGAGCCCACCTGCCGGTGCTCAGCCCATTGGTCTCAACTATCCTCGAGGCAGCGCTCTGGGCGGCAGCGCTCAGATGAATGCAATGGCAATGGTAACGCCTTGGATGGATGACTGGGACCAAATCGCAGCCATCACTGGAAACTCCTCGTGGAACGCTGAGGTCATGAGAGAATACTATATCAAGCTCGAAAATTGCCGGTACCAGCTGAGCTCGGTTGTCGGACACGGATTTAAAGGATGGCTTCAAATTGGTATTACTCCACTGACATTGATTGCCCAAGATCTGAAGTTGGCGGCCATTGTGGCGGCCACTGCTCAGGCAATGGGCAAGGGCCTGATCGATGGCGTGCTGAACCTGGCCACTGGACTTGCACATATTCTCGCGACAGACTTGAATGCGCCTGGTCGCTCGCGTGATCAAGATGTGAACATTTGGCAGATACCAATCTCCATCAACCCAACAACGGGTTTACGATCAGGTAAACCTTCCAGCTCTGTCGTTCCTAGTCAAGCTGATTTACGACAGGCCCGGTCGACTTTGTGAAACAAACCGTACAAGAGGGATACCCACTTACCGTTCAGCTCAATACTTTCGTAACCAAGATCTTGATCGACCGAAGCGGCCACAAGCCAAGGGCTGTTGGCGTCCAATATTTGTATGGACAGTATCTTTACTCTGCTTCGCCACTCTCAACAGGACAGTCAGGCACACCAGGTTACGCCTATGCCAGAAGAGAAGTCGTTGTTAGCTGTGGTACCTTTGAGACTCCGAGTACGCCTCACTTCGCGACCTTGTGCTTTGATTCATGCTGATAGCCTTAGAAAGAACTCCTTAAGCTCAGCGGTATTGGACCAGCAGATGAGCTCGCTCAATTCGGGATCCCTACAATTGTGAATCTTCCAGGCGTTGGCCGCAATCTGCAGGATCGTTACGAGGTTGGCGTAGTCGGCAAATCGGATGTTCCTTTCTCGCTGTTCGCTCCTTGCAAGTACAACTACGAAAGTCCAGATCCATGCCTCCAGCAATTTCAAGGAGGACTCACCCCAATCGATAAAGGCCCCTACACATCCAACGGGCTGGCGATCGGTACCACCTTCAGCTCATCAGTGAACGACGATCCGAAACCAGATGTGTTCATCGTCGCCGTCCCGGCATACTTCCAAGGCTACTACCGAGGGTACTCGAAAGCAGCCGTTCTGGACGCTCAGCACTTCACTTACGTCGTCTTGAAGGTGCGGTCGCGAAACAACGCTGGCACAGTGACGCTTCGCTCCACGAACCCGCTTGATATGCCAGTGATTCGATTCAACAGCTTCGCGGTCGGCGGCGATCTTGATGCACAGGCCGTTGCTGAAGGTATTCAGCGCGGTCGTGATATCTTCCGCGATGTCATTGGGCTCGATGGCACCTTCACAGTCGAGACACCGCCAGACGAGCTTCAGGGAGCTGCGCTTGTGGAGTGGGTCAAGAACTACGCTTGGGGGCATCACTGCGGTTGCACTGCCAAAATCGGCGCTCCGAATGACCCTTTGGCAGTGGTAGATGGTGACTTCCGCGTTTATGGAGTCGATGGGCTTCGCGTTGTAGACAATTCAGTCTGGCCAACGCTGCCTGGCTACTACCCTACGATCCCCATCTATATGATCAGCGAGAAGGCCGCGGACGTGATGCTTGGACATAGCCCTGGACCGATCGGTGCGTTCGATAACCTCGATCTGGGAAGTGGACCGATTGGTACTTTGGGATCCGACATCATTGGCACAGTCGCAGGAGTCGCCGATCCGAACGTCGGTGTGACTGGTATTCTTGGGTCCTTTGGCAACCTTCTCGGGGTCCTGACCGTGAGTATCCCGTTCATGCTCGGAATACCGTAGATGATTATGCTGACTTTCGTAACTCAGCCTGGCAATCCTCCATCTCCGGATTGAACGTGAGCCCTGGGAGACATTCGACGCCACCATGGCACGAACTGGCGAGCAAGGCACGCGAACGACGACGAGGTCTAGCATGTGCTGCAGTCTACACTTCACGTAGATACATTGGGTCTCTAGCCCCGCAATCGATTAATTCTCAGGCGACATAACTCTCCCCGCAACAAAATATTTGGTCTTGACTTGGTGCGAGGCCGCTTCCGCTCCTAAGTGCGACTATCTCATCATGTCGCCACTTCGTCTTCGCCCACGCTGCCATTTCCCATTCTTCAGAACACTTGAAATGAACATTCCTTTCATCCTTGGCCGCAGACATTGGCTCCTCATGAATGTTGCATCCTGTTCAGCGACCTCAAACTAGCCACCTTGAATGTATCCACGCAATGCTTGAGCATGCGATCAGCCTTCGTTCTTCCTCTCGACAAAAGATTCTAAGCTGAAACCAAACCACTTTTGCAAGCGTCGAGCCATATTATGCAGCATGATATGATCGATGGTTGGTTCCGGGTGGGGTCTATGGAAGCAGATGCTACCTGAGCCGTTGCTGAAGTTGACTGCAGAACCAGAGGCCTCTGTTGCTTTAAAGCCAGCGTCGACCATTGCTTGGACGAAGAGCACCCATCGGGTATCACTTTGAGCTCCAGCAGGAGAGAACATCTTTCGGAAGACAGAAAGACTCTCCTTCCTGACCTTCAGCGTCTGCAAGTGTGTTTCGGCATGGGAGGATTCGTTGGTAGAAGAAGGTTGTGAGCTGCGCTCGATCGTGCTTTCATCGCTCGAGGACGACTGGGTCATGCCATTTACGCGCCTGGCTTTCGCTTTGGTCTGCTTGTGGCATACTGGACCATGTTCGAGAGCAGACTTCCATACAGCTTCTTGCTCCTCAGCTTGTAGCAGTTCAGCTTTAGCGACAGCAGCCATCCGGGAACGCTCAAGGTCGTATAGCTTGCGTTCTTCATTGACCAGTGTCAGATATTCCGGCTCAGTATCGTATGATATTGCCGCTTTAAAGGTCGCAACGGAGACAGCAAGATCTCGGCAACCAGTCAGTGCCAAGCGCGCTCGTTGGGACTTGATACCTTTCCAAAGGTCTCCAAGACGCTGGCGGCATTCTATAGCTCTTTCGAGCCAAGCGACATCTTTCGTTTCTTGCGACTATTCGAGACGTTAGCATACGACACGGGTACTAAGGGCACATGCAGAAACGCACGACCGGGTATCCCACGTACCTTTGGCCAACGCAGTTCAATAAACTTTGCCAATAAAGGCCTCATTTGCTTCATGCACTCATCATCGGACATCCTCCAGTCACTACAAGTGCTAGCCTTGTATATGGGCGGAATGTCGAAGTAGACAGTCTGCCACTGTCGGTCTGCGACGAGCTGCGCTTTGCCGAACAGCTGATGCAAGTCGTCCAGGAGCATGAAATCGCCGAGAAGATCAAGCATAGACTTGTCCATGAGTTTTGCTTCTCTGTCCTCTCGCATCAGTGCATCGAGCACGTATGCGTATCCATACATGGGTTCCCGACCATGTGTAGCATCTGCCGCGAGGCATTGCATTCGCCATTGCAAGCGGCCTGCGGGAGCGTAGGGATCCAAGCCTTTTCTGATATCGAGCTGCATTGCGCCACCTGAAGTCAACAACTGGTCGTGCTCGTGATCCTCAACGCAACCAGTGTGCCCCATGATTCTCACAAAGCTGTCCCTCGCCTTGCGAAGCCGAGAGGTGATGAGATGTCTAGTCTGCGTGAACAAAGCACTGAGTTCCAACGGAAGCAAGACGCCAGGTCTGCATCCATTCTCATGCCTCTCAACAGCGTTGTGGAATTCCTCACAACCCTGGACAACGGTGTACCATAGATGGAAGCGAGTGATCAGCTCGTCGATGAGCAGTCCACCAACTTGAACCTCCTGGTCTCTTTGGCGCATGCCCATTGCAATATTACCAATGGTCATTCTCCTGGAACGTATCAGGTCTTGGAAATATCTCGGATCCGTCTGCAGGAGCCAGAACTCATCTTGTATCATTCGAAATTGCGTTCTTGCTTTGTCAAGGACCAGTTTCGAACTGAAAGTCGCAGGAGACGCGAAAGCCTGATTTTTGTAGGAACTCCAAGCAGCATCGCCCCCAGAAGCTCGAAGTCCATTGGTCACAAGAGCACTCCATGTTGTGGATCCTGTTGGCGGGGACTCATCGACAATGGAGTGAGTAATTCGCAAGAGTGTGCACATGAGTTCATGCTGAGCTTGGATTGTCACAAATGCTCGCGGAAATCCAACGATAGCCCATCTGTGCGTAGCTTCAACGTCAAAGGAACACAGTTCTCCGTAGCCAGCGTCGCACATTGTCACACAATGTTCATTGTACCAAGCTGGAAAGTAGCCTGCTGCCCATGCTCTACAGGCTGCATGTACGTCGAAGATTGTCCATGACATCGAGCTGTTTGAGGTTCTTACGTGAAGGAGGGAAAGAAGCTTCATGGGATCGTTGGCAAGGTCTCGCAGACTAAGCCACTCGCCGCCGGACCAACTCTCGTAGTGCTCGTCGTAGCAGTCATCGTTGGGGCAACGTGTCAAGGTCACCTATCAGCAAAAGTGGAGATGTCAATAAGGGCTCTTAATCCTCTCTTTGCACGTAGTTATGATGACTGCGCGTATGGGTACCCATATTGCAGCTTGAATTTTGAAGGGCAAGTTGTGGATGTTACTCACCGGCCATTTGCCAAAAATTCGAGGAGCAACATCACTGAGCATCCTGCCTCGTTTGTCCGCGCTTAGCTTTTTCTTCCATCTCTTCACGATGAGGTCACCGTACGCCTGGAGAAGTGTCGACAACTGCGAGCGAACATTCTCAGTGTCCTCGACCATGAAATTGATCAGGTGCTGCGCGAGGCCGTCCGAAAGATGCGCCCCATAAAACAAGGCGAAGGAACCGGTGGCTGGGTCAATCTTCTGGTCCATTGTAGGTCGCCACATGGTCGAGTTAACGCCACATTGCATGCTGTGGTTGCAACTGCCAGGAGTGTCACAAACGTGATGCTCGATCGCGTCAGGGCAGTCGAATGGAATCGAGTACACAGCAAGGTCGTTTTGCCCTTTTACGGCCAGATTCGAGATGAACTCTGATGCTTCTGAACCAGAAAGGCGTATTTCTGTCTTGTCGCTGCTGGCCATCTGAGCCTCAAGCTCGTGGAAAGGCGCATCCCGACCTAGATGAATGGCAGGAGTATTAGCAATAGCCTAGGCAATGGTGACCGTGAGCACGGCGGAGAACCACTGAGTGTTATGCGCAACCGAAGGGCTATAGCTGTTCTTGTAACGTGGAGCCATGCCTCTGATGAACTTACCAGACGCGGCCAAACCCTTGATGTACAATGGTGTCGCCATTGCAAGAACGGGCGATGGCCAGGTTGCAGAAAGGGTGAAGTCGTGCGTGCGGCAAATGAAAGACGGCGAAGCGGACAAACGAAGGGCTTTGAACAGCCCATCAACGGCAAGAAAGACGTTTCAGCGTTTATGTGGGACGGTTTTGCAAAGCCAAGATCGTGTGAAAAAGCTGTCGCTGGAGACAAGCACGTTTCTCATCTCCAGAATGCCCGATGATTGTTCATACCCATGCATCGACAGCGGCGTGGTGTGCTCTTCGTCAAGAGTATCCGATTGAGACGATAAAGCTACTAGTGTTCAATGCACACGAGAGGACATCGTAGGGTTGACTGCTGCTATGCAGCAAACAAGAAGCCTGAAAGCGTTCTGGGACGGAGTCATGCAGGAAATCGCATTCGGCCGCTGCGTTTGCGGTGGACACTGTTGTGGTTTGCTGTCTTATCGGGCCCACGAAGATCAGGCATTGAGTAAAGCGATGCGACTGCGCCTCGCTCGCGTGCGGTGGGCACATGGTATGCCCCTGATATGTGCCTAGTATCAATAGCAGCACACCATCAGAAGCGGCAAGTTAGGAGACGTTGTTCCACAGAAGCTATGCGAAGGCCGTCACCATCGAAATGAATGCGAAGTTGATGCTTCGTTACCCACGATAGCAAGACAAACAATCTGATCAGCTACGAGCACACTTCCACGTTGTGATATGATGCTCACATATGGGCATCCAAGGCCTCGGTGCCTCTGAGCAGCACACGAAGATGGCCACGGCCACGGCCACAGCAACAGCGTTGCCTCGACATTGTCGCGCGTGATAAGAAACATCCAGGCAGCGGAAATTGCAGAAGCAGATTGATTATGGAAGGGGCGGACTGGAAGATCGGTGTTCTCGTGCGCATTGTGATTTGGAGGTATTTTGACCATTTCTCTCTTGGTCTCTACTGTAGCCGTGCATGCCTCAAGTGGGCGAGCCACATTTTCCAGCCTTCCTTTTCGCCATGAAAATATCAAGCGCCCAAGCATGCCATGATCCGTAAAAAACGCCGCAGTCAATGTCGTTCAATTCATGCAACGGCCTGCGATGTCCGTGTTAGCATTCCGTGCTGCCCAGCCGCGCTTGCCATGTTGCCGATCATACCTTGACGGCGAAGTTTCTCTGAGGGAAGTGTCGCTGCTTCTTCTTTTGCTTCTCAGTGACGAGTTTCTGCTCCTCTGGGGATAATCGACGGCGGATGGCACGGGTCTGCTTTGGGCGGAGGTCGAGTGGCAGGTACTTCTTGTTCTTGTAGAACAGACGGAGCTGAGCGCGCTGGTTTGCGTTGATGATGGTGAGCACGCGGGCGATCGACTTGCGGACGTCGTGGCTGCACGAAGCGTGTCAGTACCCTCTATTCTCTTCCCATGCGAAGGTGCGCGGCTGCAGGAACAGTCCAAATGTGCGTATCTCAAAATCGGCTCAAAAGGCTGTGGGGGGCGTACATCTTGCTGAGCTTCGACTGGGCACCGCCAGCAATCTTTTGAGTGCGCAGCTGGACCAGCTCCTGCTTCAACTCATCCAATTGCTTCTTCAAGTCATCCTTGTTCTTGCCCCAGAGCTGGGCGGCCTTGACCTTGCCGGACGACTGCAATTCCACCGTCAGTATGTCCGACGAGCATTTCCAGGTGGTTTCGAGGTGTAGGCGGGCGTACCATTTTGACAGCTGTGGTGTTAGTATTATCGTCGCGGGTGTCGTCGCTGGATTGCGCTTCGCTTCAAGCTCCGCGAAAACTGAAGTGCTGCACTTTCCACAGTGTGGCCTTGGCAATGCGCTTGCCCCGAAGCGGATCCTTCGGCAAAGCCTCGGGCTGCGAAAGCATGAGCGTGTGGAGGTTTCGTGTCTGGAGTCTCGTGATGTGATCAAGGCAGTTGAGTTTTTATTGTAACAACCGACTCATACAGAAATCGCACAGCAGCATCCATAGCAGGACTGCATATGTAGATGACCATGACTGCAAACATGGGCAGCTGGGCACAACTACGGCAGCAAGCACGAGCGCAGGAAACACAGGTCAGCATGTTCCAACAACTGCATTTGCATTTGCGTTAGCACTGTCGAAGGCCATCTCCGTATCATGCTCACAGTACAGCCAGACAGAGACCCTATTTCATACATACGCGCAATTCGCCTCGCAAACAGACATCGCAGCCAAGCCGACCGACGATGAACGCAAAACAGAAGAGCAGCTCAATGAGATCCTCGAAAAGCGATCCTCCCTTCTCCAACAACTGGCGCGCGTACTCGACTCTGAAGCGCAACCCTCAGCACTCAAATCCACAAATCTTGCCCGACATCGTGAAATATTGACACAACATCGAACCGAGCTCTCGCGGCTAAAGAGCCAGATCGAGCACAACCGACAAAGAGCCAACCTCCTCTCCAACGTGCGCTCCGACATCGATGCCTACCGAGCACGAGACAACCCCGAGGCAGCGGAGGCGGAATACATGCTCGAGGAACGACGCAGATTAGACAACAGCCATAACGTCGCGGACAGTGTGCTCAGCCAGGCATATGCTGTGAATGAGAGCTTTTCACTGCAGCGGGAAAGCTTGGTATCGATACAAAGGAGGATTACAGGAGCTGCCGCACAGATTCCTGGTATCAATGGGTTGATGCAGAGGATTGGAAGCAAGAAGAGAAGAGATGGCATCATACTGGGCTCGTTCATTGCTTTCTGCTTCTTGGTATTGCTGTGGTTCTGGTAGCTCACAGCCAATATTCTGCCTTTGTCTTTAGCGCGGCGTCTGAGGGAGGGGGCATTTCTAAGGAATTTCAAAGGTATTCTTCGAGCACTGTACAGTACACCAACCAGATATGCTTCCTGGTAGTGAAGTGTGCAAACTGCTCGGACGACAAAACAATCCCCGGCGCTGAACCGCTGCTCAGACTTTTGCAACACTGCTTAACGATGCCTGTACAGCGCCGTCAGAGTCAGCTGACACTCTTCGCCAGCCTCATGATTTCGCAATTTCAAGGTTCGCGGTGATACGAGGTCGTCTTCGACCCCTCCGAGTTACCACTCCCTACCCGAAGCAAGCACCACCTGCACGACCTTGCTACCGCAGTCCATCCTCCCGCACCGGAGCACGCACAAACTTACCTCCACGATTAGCACGAGACTTTCGTGTGACCTGCAGCACTTTCGAGCCTTTGCGCATGTGGATCCGCAACTTCTTTGAATATCGCCAAGCTGTTTTGCGTCAACGTTCTCTCCGAAAGCCAAACTGATTATCAACGAAGAAGAAGGCTGGCTGCACGTCTGATTTGACAGAATATCAACAGCAGCATTGCAAGAGTACCGACCTGGAGCCCCCACGTCCTCGCTTGGATCTATGCTTCCGCTCTTGAACGGAGTGGTTGAACTCAGCAAGAATAGCCACAACAGCATCAAGGACCATGCCACATTTTGAGGTGGTGGACCGGAGTTTGAGTGGAAGACGCAATAGTCGCAGCGCAGGCTGAGGTTTGGCGGCGTACGAACATTGTACTCGACTGACCATAGGATTGGGCTTCTCCAAGGCGAAGCCCAGATAGAAGGCACATGTTGTGCGCATTATGCACAGCTTGCGTGCAATATTTTCAGATGAGCTCGACATGGCTAGATGTCTGTCGATGAAGGAAGCCACGTACGACCCGCCAAAACGAAATCTGCGTTCCAAGCCCTGCGTGGTTGCAACTTGTATTGCAGTTCATCCCGGCGACCATTCAAGCATGATGGAACGAAAAAGTGCATCAGATTCCAGGACGTGAAAGCCTGTCAAGAAGCTTGCGAGATCCGAGCACGCCACACATCAGCGATATTTCTTGCATCCATTTGTTACCAACATTTAGCGTCGTCAACGTCTGCGATGTAGTGGAGGGCCATTAAGGGGCCTTAAGCAGATCCCTCTCGTTGATGTGCGAGTTGGGCGATTCATCGGTCCATCGACTCAACTGGAATAATGTCGGTTCGAGCTCTGCACACTCCGACAAGCTTTTTGCATCTCTTGCCATTCTTCTTATTCCGTTGTAATTTCTAATCCTGTGACGCGATTTCTTCTCTGCTGTACTCTGGTCTGTGTTTCTGTGTGATGGCAAGAGTTACGAGACGTTCGAATACTGATGCTCGTCTGAAAGGCATAGGCAAGCAGGGTACAGCCTGCTTCGCGAGTGCTTTGCTTTCCACAAATTTTCGACGACATCATTCATCAGTGCATTGTAAAACATGCGCAATGCTCAGCCTCACTAGGCACAAGCTTTATCACAAGCACTGCCAGGTGGTCGAAGGATTGGCGCACTAATCTCTATCGAGTATACTCGGCTCCAAAACCAATGGTCAATGTTCAAACCAAGCCTCTCGGAAAGGATTCACCGAAGCAGACCCTCAGTTCCATCCTTCGCGATGCCAAAAGCAGCTACTCTTGCGCAAACCTGCAGGTTGCCACGCGAAGCTGCAGGAATATGCTGGCTACACTCAGCCCTCGAGGCCATTATTGACTTGCGCATTGCTCAGATGATGTGAGTCGTTGCCTGGTAGCGGTCGCCGGCGTAGAGGTTTTCAGCTGGCTCGCATGACAATCTGCTTCTGTCGCACTGCTAACTAAGAATGCAAGTCTCAGCAGGCGTCCATGCTTTTAGGAAGAAGATATATGGTAATTGTTAGTTCTCTCGAGGTGCACTCATTCGCACGTCCTTCAAACTCAAGCAATTCATTCCTCCAACCTCAACATTCTCTTGGCTTCTGCCTGTTCTATGCTCCGCTCTCACTTCACTTGGTACCGGTGCTACAAGCATGGGAATCTTTAGCAATGGGACCTGTCCTGTGCCAGCAGGCGCGACGGACTTTCATCACACTGGAACTGCTCACAAACCTATGGTCTATGTTGCCGGCGTTTCTACAGCAATGACCTTCGGAATATGCATCACTCTCATGTGAGTCTTACTCAAGATGCTATGATGTTGGTACTGACATTCGATAAGCACGGCTCATCTGCGACGATATCGCGCGCCGAAGGAGCAGCGTCAGATCATTCGAATGGTTTTCGCACCTTGTGTTTTCGCTCTGGTGGCATTCTTCGAAGTCTTAAGCTATGAAATTGCACCATACATTGATCCACTGGGCGACCTCTACGAAGCTTTTGGACTTTGCGCTTTATTTCTGCTGTATCTGCAGTACGCAGCACCGAACGGCACCTTCGACGATGAGACGTTCGAAGCAGTCAAAGCAGCCCAGGAAGGCAAAGCTGTGAATTTTGATTTTGGCAGAATCAGCTGGTGTTTTGGTGAGTTTAGCCTGGGTGTGAAACTACCCTTACAGAATGACATTGCTGACGGCTCACATGCAGTGTTCCAATACCCCGTCTTGGAATTGCTGTCATTAATCATCCTTGAAGCAACGCAGGCTTCTGGCCATTACTGCGTCCAGTCGCTGAGTCCTCGTTTTGGTCATCTATGGGTAACCGTGATTTCCAGCGTTGGTGTTGGTGCCTGTGTGCTCGCAATTCTCCGGTTCTACGGACGCATGACAACCCGGATAAAAGTCCGCAGAGGCCTGGCAAAGCTTGTGTGCTTTAAGTTGATCGTGGCCCTTCGATTCTTCCAGAGTCTGGTCTTCAGCATCTTGCTCGATCACGATGTGATCAAGACTAGCAGCACATTTGGGTACAACGACATCCTATACGGACTTGAGAATTCCATCACTTGTGCTGAGATGGTTGTGTTATCGTTGGGATTTTGGTATGCCTACTCCTCGACGGAGTATGGATCCCACTCCAAGTCCTTGAGCCCACGCGTCCTGATGTACAAGGCTGTGTTGGACGCGATAAATCCCTGGGAACTCATTGTTGGCATCTTCCGGATCTTCACCGTTATCACTCATTTGCGAGTGACAGGCGGGTTTCAGGATTGGAATGCCCACAAAGAGCAAGTGAAAGCGGATAAGCGGGCGCAGAAGATGAAAGGCCGGTATCAGACGCTCGATGGCATGGAGTCGCTCGCGCATCCTGGTGCGTCCCATGGCCGGTCGGGCTCGAGCTCCCAATTTGAGGACACCACTCCTGCTGTGTGGCATTATTCGGTCGGGGGCCACCCGATTCGTCAGGCCCCAGCAACATCGCCGCCGGCGTATCAAGACGGCGATCTAATGGCAGAGTCACGACCTGGTCAAAGGACATTTGCTAACGGCGGCGTCTGGGATGGAAGGTGCTACGAGAGGAGTCGGTCGCCTGAAAGGTTAACGGAGGACGCTGCTGCGCGACGAGATATGGTTTAGTGGAGCATGTGGTGCCCTAGGCGTTGACGAGATGCTGTCTCCTTGTTAGTCAAGAGGTCGTTGATTACACCTCAGCCTGGCAGGGCGGCGGGCATCAAGCGAAGAAAGGGATGAATCATGCGATCTCTCCTGATGGCAGATGCCCTCGTTCTTGCCTTTTCGAGGCTTTGCAGAACTTTATTCCAACTTCACGTCCACGAAGCTGAGTGGCGCTGGGCGGCTTTGCCTTTTGCACACTTATCGAGCAAGCATTAGGGAACTTCAAAAGCCACCAATTTGCAGGGGCCTCTCGAAGTCGGCTACTAAAGTAGATACTAAGGTTACTGCATCCTTCGAGGGCTAGTTTTCTACCCCTACGAGCTACTAACTCGCAGGCCTAGGCCGTACTTTTAAATAGCCCTATCTAAAAGTATATAAGACGCTATATTAACAATTAGTAGGGGTTATATTCCTTTACTAACTATAAGAAGCTAGTAGTTTACCCTTAGCTAAAGCTACTAGTAGCCGTACTAGCTTAGCCTATTAAACTATATTCTTACTACTAGAGCGATAGTAAGGTAGTAGAAATATTAGGTAGCCGAGAAGGTACGAGAGGGCTCTACTTATTATATAAGTAAAGGTCTATATATAGCCGTTAGTATAATTAGAAGCTAGGCTTAGAGGGCGGTTTAATTATAGTAATTATAGTAATATAGATCCTAGGATTAGAGATACCTTTAGAGGTAGTAGAGGTCGTAGATTATTAGCTAGTATTATTAGACTCGCGATCTAGTCGACTATTACTATAAGAGCTAGGATAAGGGCTATTAATAAGTAGTATTCTATCCGGTAGCTATACCCCTTAGAATTTAAGGATATAGAAGTGCTTATAGCCGTTATAGAATACCCTCTAGTTACGACTAGGCCTCGTAATCTTCCTTATAGTACTAGTAATATATCCGAAGATACTAGATAATCTAACTAGTAGATATAGCGACTCCGCTAGGCTCCGGAGATATTGCTTACTAAGCCGCCCCTTATTAAAGAATAAGAATAACTTCTACCTTAACGCTAGGCTATATACTACTATATTAAATATATAACTTAACGTAGTAGCTAAATAGCTAAACTTCTTATTTATATCCTTCTAGAAGCCTAGAATAGATAGCCGCTTATAGACTATATAAAGCTATTAGGACTAAAGAGGTTATACGTAATTAGTATATAACTAGGCTCGAGTAAAGTTAGGGTCTAGATGCCTTAGGCAGGGCTTAGCGCTTAGTAATAGGCTAACTTGCCCGCCTTCCTCCCTTTTCTTCTAGTTCTTTATCGAATACTACCCGTACCTACTACTACCCTATCTACCTACTAATATACCCTTCTTATATAGTATTCGATCTACCCTTTAAGGGCAGCAGCGAGATAGCCTTTATTTTAAGCTTTTAGCGGTATAGCTACGAATAAGACTAATTTAACTATATTGCGCCTAAAGAATAGGACCTATACGCACTATTCTACTAAAGACAACCGTACTAATTATTAAGCAAGGCCTTCTATACGGCCTATTATACTAAGGCAATCGCACTAGACCGATATCTACTAATTCCGCTATATCCGTACTATAGGGGCCTATAATATATTATTAGTATTACCCTTTATTATAATAGCCGGATTATTACGAAGCAATAACAATAACCGCGGTGCCGCTAGCAGCGCTAGCAATAACAATACTAGTAGTATAGAGCCTATTAATAAAGAACCTATAATTCTAGGTAACGATCTAGAATTGCCTATTGACGACATTCTTAATAACATTATTAATCGTCGATATAGCTAACTAGCCTTTAGCCCCTAACTAGTAGGGAGACTTTAAGAAGCTACCTAAAATAGGCTTACTGCCCTACGTTAAGAGTAGTAGCTAAAGGATAACCTCCTCGAACTTTGCCGCCTTTAGGAAGCCCCGATAACTACTACTAAACTAATAGTAGGACCTTCCTCGCTATCTACTTAGAAGAAGAAGGATGCTAAGCTTAGGGACTGTACTGTATTTAACGGCTCTAGTCGTAAGCAATACAATAATTATATACGTAACTATAAGCTTAACTAGCGAAATGTACCGAGGGCTCTTCTAGACGACTATTTACTAGTTGTCTACGCTATATAGTATATTAATAGTAACCTAAAACGTACCTAGGATAACTATTTTAATTCCCTCGATAACTAGACCGCTATTTAGTAGCAAACCTATAAAACTATTATACTAGACACCCTTAGAAACCCTATACTAAGGCAATAATATGCTTAGGACTAGTATCTTCGAGCTAAGCAAAAGACTAATTAATCGGCTCGCTTATTCGAGGCCTATTTAAAGACCCTTAAGGATAACCTTCCGGCTAAGACTAATTCTATATAGATCTCGGAAATACGCCTAAAGCTTAGATAGGACTTATAGGAGCTTATCCTCGAATTAGACCGTCGCCGTATATTTAAACAAGCTAACCTAATACGCATTCAATTTATAGTCGAAGTAGAAATAGCTAAGCGAGCTATTTAGCTTTAGTAACGGCTAGAATTAAGGATCCGACTAGCTAGTACTAACCGTAGCAACCGTAGTGCCTACGGAGGAAACTAAAGTTCCTACTAAAACAATAATGCTAATAATAGGAACAGTAGCAACGACCGGGGAAGAGGCTATAGCCGGCGGCTACATAGAGGAGGCCGCGATAGGGGCCGTAGAAGGGGCTCGTATCCCTATAGTGCTAACCGCTCTACTAATAATAATAATAGCTATAGCAATCTACTAACCGGATTAAAGTGCTTTAACTATAATAGTACTAGCTATCTACTAGGCTAATACGATAAACCTAGGGATTAGGCCCGGATTAACCGTACTTCCGCTAAATATAAGAAACACCTCTTAGCAGCTAACGCTACCCCTATAGGCTAACCTTCGAAAAAGGAATAAGCGCCGCACTAACTATTAGTATTATGCGGCGTAAGACTATTAACATTGTACTAGCTATTATACGCACCTGTCTCGTATAGGACTTATATTATACTAACTAGAAGGCTAAGGTTATACTAGATCTAGGGAACTCCGTTAGTGCCCTTATTAGCTATCGCCTAGCTAAGCAATTAGGCCTCCGACAATTGCCTAGAACTAACCTACTAACCCTTGCTTAGTTTAATAACGCTCGGCACTTAACCTATAGGGCCTACTACGTTCCTATAGCCCTAAGAGACGACCTTAGTAATAAGCGCTTATTAGATTTTACTGCCTACGTAGTAGATATAAATAGCCTCTCCTCCGATATTATTATTAGCAACCCTATTCTTAAGTACTACGCTATAGTTATAGACTTAGGCAGCTAATAGTAGCGATTTAGAATCGCTAGGAAAGAGGATATTAAACACATTAATATTAGCGAGTGCCCTAATAATATTAGGGTCCTATTTATTAGTAACCTAATACTAGCCTCCGCCTTAGCTAATCCGACCGCCGACCTACTCGGTAGTAATAACGATAAACCTATGCCCCCTAATAGCATAGACCCTAATTAGCTTGCTCGCATACCCTAGCCTATTCGAGAAACCTATATCGATGTGCCTAAACACTACCTAGCATCGATATTACTTATATTTAAAGAGACGGATTATAAGATTAATATTATAGAGAGCAAAGAGGTCCCCTTAGGCCTTTAGGCTACTCTATAACCTTAGTAAGCGTAAACTCGCTGTATTACGTAAATACCTAGATAAGAACCTAGCTAATAGTCGAATCTAGTGTAGCAACAGCCCTACTAGTATACTAATCCTTTTTGTTCTAAAGAAGGATAGTAGCCTACGCCTATATATTAACTATCGTAGACTTAATGCTGTTACTATTAAAGACCGCTGTCTACTTCCGCTTATTAATAAGACCCTCGATTGCCTATTAAAGGACGGAAACCAACACTACTACTACTACTTGTAGTAATAGTATAGGCTACCGAGGGTAACATAACCTATAGCAATATAGACAGCTATGTTTAGCAAGATAGGATAACGAGACTATCGCTTAGGCTAATAACTAGAGCCCTGCAATATAGGCATTATAGAAGTGTAATATAAACAATATGCTATACGAGGTTAGTGCTCTATCTATAATATAGAAGGAGGCCTCTTATATAGGCTCAAAACTCAGCCTAGGTATATAGGGCCGGTTACTAGCTAATACTGTCTAGCGTATATTTCTATACTATATTAGATATTAAGGATACGTACTATCGTATCTGTATTCGCAAGGGCGACGAATAGAAAATAGCCTTCTATACCCGCTATAGCTATTTCGAGTATCTAGTTATGCCGTTTAGCCTAGCTAACGCCCCTATAACATTCTAGTCCTATATTAATCGTACCCTTTCGGGCCTACTAGACTACCTCTATATAGTTTACCTAGATAATATCCTAGTTTATATCTATTTACCTAATATTATAGAATACTAGGCCGTAGTACGTAAGGTCCTTAACCGCCTGCGAGCCTATAGACTATATTGCAAGCCTTCTAAATGCACCTTCACTACTAAAGAGGTAGCCTTCCTTAGCTTTATCGTATTAACTAACGGTATTAAGGCTAATCCTAACCGGATTAAAACAATTACTAAATAGCCTATTCCTACGTCTATTAAAGAGCTTTAATTATTCCTCGGTTTTGCTAACTTCTACCGCCGCTTTATTAAAGGCTATTCGAGGCATGTAATACTATTAACTAAGCTTACTAAGACTAAGGCAAACCCTTCTAGAGAGTTCAAATAGACTAATAAAACACAAGCCGCTTTTAACGGCCTAAAGCAACGCTTTACTAAAGTCCCCTTGCTATACTATTTTGTACTAAGCAAACAGATTCGGATTAAGACTAATACTTTATAGTTCGCTATATCGGCTATTATATTATAGCAATTAGATAATAACTATTACTAGCACCCGATTACCTTCTTTTTATAGAAGATAATCGATACTAAGCGTCGATACGAGACCTACGA